GTCTCTGAGGTCCTTTCCAACTCTGAGATTTGGGGGATTCTAGAGACCATGATTCTTTCAGCCCTGGAAGATCTTCTCTGGAACAGTCCTCTCTAGTCTTTGGTTGTCAAATTGAATTTGTAGATTTTATGTAATATTTCTCTATTCCAAGGAAGAGCTGTCATTCTTGTAGGTTGTCTCTTCCACCTACTGCTCTAGATTAGCATTAAAACTTCAGGTCATAATCTGAAGTAATGAGTCTGTAAAATGTAAACTCTTTGAGGGTAGGAACTACTTTGTTTTTTTTTTCTTTTTTGATCTTGTATCCCCAGCACCTAAACTCAGTGTTTGCATATAGTAGGTAGGTTATAACACATAACGTTTGATGAATTGAGTTGGCTTCTTCTGTACTATTACCAGCAAAAGGTTTCCTTGACACTCATGAATTGACCCAGTTGTGACCCTGTTCCTCCTGGTGTTGACCTCTAAATCTTTTATCATTGGCTGTTTTGAGAAGATGATCTTAGGGCCACCGGACATTTGACAACTGTCCTTTCTTTGTCTACTGGCTCTGTTTGCTGCTCTCAGCATGGATGCACATGGCCCATGGGAATTCCCTACCCCTGTACCAGCAGGTATAATGGTATACTGAAGTCTAAGTAAACAATGAGAAATAGTGCCTTCCTTCTGAGATGATCTCTGATTTATTCTATATAGTTCATGTTTGTGCTTAGTGAGATTGTTGAGGGTGGGGATCATTTTTACCTTTCTTTGTCTCCCCAGCAGTTATCACAATGTTTTACGTGATAAATGCTTGTTGGCTTGTTATTAGCCTGATGCCCATTTCCAGACACACTCCTCTGAGCATGAAAAATGAAGAATAAGCTCAGCTGGAAGAATAGATCTGCTCATAGTTGTCTTCTAACACTTCTGGTGTTTATTTCCTTCTTGCTCATTCAACTCTTTCCGTGTTGAAGAACATTCACTTTGATTCAAATGGTAGAAAAGGTAGAATATGGGAAGTTCTGCTTTCTCTCTGGTTTCTACTAATATTAAAACATCTTCCTCAAGCTCTGACCTTGTTCTTTGTTGTTATTCAGTCATTTTCAGTCATGTCTGACTCATCATGACCCTATTGGGGGTTTTCTCAGCAGAGAGACCGGAGTGGGTTGCCATTTTCTTCTCCAACTCATTTTACAGATGTGGAAACTGAGGCAAATAGTTAAGTGACTTGCCAAGGGTCACACAGCTAGTAAGTGTCTGAGGGGAGATTTGATCTTAGGAAGATGAGTCTTCCTGACTCCAGGCCTGGCACTCTATCCACTACACCATCTATACCTAAAAAAAGACTTAAAAATTGTCCATAGACAGTGGCTTTCTCCACCCACCACCCCAAAATAAAAAACCTTCAAGGCTTTAATCTTCTTGACACTGTTCTTCCTTGTTACTTGCCATTCATTCATAGTCATCCTTAGTTATTTATTCCTCCTTTTTAAAATCTGAGTTCATTTTAGAGATCCTTTTGTATTTTTATCCTTATTAAGGTAAGAGTTCTTAACCTGAGGTCACTAAAGTTGTTTTTGTTGTTGCTGTTGTTTTTAAACAAATAACTATATTTTAATATAACTGGTTTACTTTGTAATCCAATGTATTTTTTTAAGTACTTAAAAAGATTATTCTGAGAAGGGATGCATAGATGGAGTATACAACAAAAATGTTTTAGAACCCCATCAGAGACTTCTGCTTTTTCCTTAAGATTGTTCTGTTATCAGTTTTGTATCTGAGAGCCTCCCATTTCTCTTGCGTTATCTTCGATTTTATTAGTTTCTGATCCTGGGATCAAGCCTATCATTTCTCTGAACTCGCCTCCAAATTCTTTTAACAGATATCAAATATTGTGGCATGAGAAGATAAGGATGGAATTATGGGTGTCAGGTCTTGAGTGAAATGTCCTCTCTGTCATTTGCGAAAACCTTACTGTGTACCTACCAGATCAAATGAAAAAATTCATGCAAAAACACTTGATAACCTTAAAGCACTATATAAATGGCAGTTATTATTATTATTTCTACATGATTTTCTTTACTGGAGCTCAAAAAATAAATTAGAATTAAGAAGACTTAGTCATTGCTCTTCAGGCATTCCCAATCTAAGACCAATAATAAGAACGTAATAGGTGTGTTTAACAATATACAGGATGTCTCATAAGTAAGTGCAATTTTAATTCAACTTAATTTAAATCTTAATATTTAAGTTTTAATATCCTAAAACTACACTAAGATTTGGGACATCCTGTATATATGTATATATGAGACAGGACATATGGACGCATATTTTGTGGTGGGCAGAACCTTCAACTTTCTTTTCATTGCTTAATTGAAAGAAATGTTTTCACGGATAGGAAGTAATGAGAGAAGTGGAGAATGTAGTGTGTGGACGGTCCAATAGGGACAGAGTAATAGGACAAGGTGATAACAAAAAGGGTTATGGGAGAATGAGGTCAGATCATAGACTGAGCTAAGAGGTTGAGGAAAGTGACCACAGGACCAGATTTGAAGGAAGAAAAAAGAGAGGAGGAGCAGGAGTAGAAAAAAATTTCCATCTATGACTCAAAGCAGTACTGTTGGAACTGTGAATTATTGGTTCTTGCAGTTGCATCTAAGAGGTTTGCCATAATATGTTATTCCCCAGTTTGTGTGTGTGCGGATAAACAACATGAAGGTGGCCATACCCAAGCAAGTGCAGTTTAAGTTCCAAAGCCACAAAATATAGCTAAGAGAGTTCTCTGTCTCATGCCTCACAGACCTGGAACTGGAAAGGACTTTAGTGATCATTTAATCCAGACCGTTCATTTTAAAGATGAGGAAATTGAGTCCTAGAGAGATTAAATGACTTCCCGAAGTCACACATAATAAATGGCAAGAGTCAGTTTTCAAAACCTGTTGGGCCTCTGACTCTAGATGCTCCATTCTTTTCACTGCCCCATCTTATATCCTTGTGTTATAAGGGCTTCCTGTAATGACACTGCAGGATCGTATCACACACCAGCTCATCCTCCTGCACGTCGCCTAGTCATCATATTTCCATGCTGAAATTGGCGTTAGCAAAGAAGTGCAACACAAACCTGAGAAACAGTTCGGGTTGCCCTATTGTGTTTATCTATCTTTCATATAAACTATTTAATGTTATATGTGCATCTGTTGTTTTTAGTATGAAAGCTACAGGGAGGCGGGATAGTGGGTGGCACTTATGTGCATGGGATATACTTAGAATCATAGAATTGTAGATCTAGGCATGGAAGAGACCCCAGAAACTATCTAGTCCAATAGCCCTACCCATCTATTCCCATCCCCACCCCCGTTCTCTTTTTACAGATCAGGAAGTAGAGGCCTTGGGAGGTTGTGACTTACCAAAGATTTCACAAGTAGCAACTGTCAGAACTAAGATTTGAACCCAAATCCTCTGATTCCAGAGCCAGTGCTCCTTCTATTATACCACCCTGTCTTCCTTAATATTTATTTCAATATTTAAAAGATTGGGCTTTCCCTGTGCAGCTTACCACTCATCTACAACTCAGTATAGTGTTTTCAATAGTTGTCGCCAAATAACTCACAGCCTTTTCCAAACCTAACCTAGCTTGGCTAGTTTTTCAATTAGAGAAACAGTGTTTCACCAGGTCCATCATCTAAGCTTTTTCTAGCTTGATTATACTTTCCAGAACTTTCACCACACTGGAATGAAACTCTAAAATCCAGCATCATCTCTGTGCCATGTTGAAGCCACACAAGTAATACCTGAGTGGAGGATGTGTTTATTAGCACATAGAAATGTTCATTGATGATTATATAGTAAAAAAAAAAATCAAATTATATAGCAAAAATAATCAGTAAAAATGATATAGTAAAAATTGTACAGTAAAAACAAAACAAAACCTGCCAGTTTTTTTAAGTTTACATAATAGTAAGAGGGTTTAAAACTAAGGAAATGGATCAATGGAAACTGAAACCTAAAACCGTGCCCCAAAGGTATGGTAGCATTTTTCATGATGAGACAAGCAGCACCATTCAAAGGTCCTGCAGAGGATTTTCTTTCAGGAACAAAATTAAAAGTAATGGAGAAGTCCTTTATAAGCTATCTCAAAGAGTTGCAGACCATGTATATTTATGTTAAATTCTGCCCAATATGTTAGAGGGTATCCATCAATAATTCAACTGTATTTTGAATGCTTGCCTTCCACCAGTGCTGCTACCATGAAAAACTTAAAGCTATCTAGACTTGTATTTCCAACATGAACTTGGCAAAATTCATCTGTTAAGTACCTTTTCTCATTTTGGAAATATTTGTTAATATTTTCTTTAAATTAGAATTTTGTTTAGCGAGGATATCAACATTATAATTTTAAATAATATAGGGTCTTAGAACAAAATATGCAGTATGATGCCTTTCATGACCATCAATGAAGCCAATCTTCATTGATTTTTTGGATGATTAATTATCTGCTAATTAATAACTGATTTGAACTCAGGAAGATGCATCTTCCTGACTCTAGGCTTGGCAGCCTATCAACTGAACCACCTAGCTGTTCCCCCCTCTCCCGTCAAATTCATTATCCTACAGCAGACTTGGTGATGAGCCTTTTCAAATAGCTGAAAGAACAGCAGATATGCAACCCATCATCCAGCTTCTTCTTGATGCCCTTACAGTCTGGTAGGATCTTTCAAAGCTTACATCCCTCTGAGTCTAGCATAAGCTTCAAGAACTTAGCATATTTTCCACACCATAGTAAAACAGCCATGGAGACGTGGCTATATATGGGATCTAAAATTGATATAGCCTGTCATTTCCTATTCATTATGTTACTTTTAAATACATTTGTCTTCCAAATAAAAATTTTAACCTTTTAAAATCTTTATTACAGAATTTTTTAGAAAGTAATCATCTAAAATTACCATCTTGTGAGAAATTTGCTTTAGATTGTAGGAAATCTTATCAAGATACATTGTTGTGATTTCTCTTTTCAGTTTTGAGAAATGGTGCTTGGGAAATTGTTCACTGGGAAAAGGTAAGTGTTAGTTTTTATTTTGCTCCATTAGATAAATACTCTGAGGTGGTACTATTATAATGTCCTATTCATAATGCCATTAGCTAGCTAATGTAAGAAATTATGTAACATTCTGCTGATATGGAACAGAACTTAATAGTGACCATATGTAAATATTGTGCTATATATACCATTATAATGGTATATGAATTCAATATAGTGGTATATATACTCAAATAGTAATGTATGTTTAATGCTTCCACAGTATGCCATTATTTTTAAAATAATATTTAAGTTTCTGTTTACACTACAGTGTACTTTTAGTACTGTTTTTGTAGGTTTTATTTAACCATGAATGTTTTGTTTAATATTTATTGTAACTATCTACTGCCCAACTAAAAGAAGCAGTTTTAAACACTTGATATAGAGGGAAAAATTATTTAATAAATGTTTCAGATTTGTACATCATATTTTCAGGTGCATAAGTTACAAAAACCCCAGTCTCATAAAATACCTACCCTTTAAATATAACTACTACTTTACTAGGAAACAAATTGCTCCTCTTCAGTCAGTTAGGTAATTTACTCTTAAGGTGTATCATTCAGCAGTTAACGAATCAGAGCCATAATTTACCAAGTGGTGCCCAAGCAAGTGAACCCAACTGATGAGGCATCCTAGGCAGTGGACTCTGGACCGAAAAAGAATATTTCCAGTAGAATAGAAGTGGTTTTTTGTTTTGTTTTGTTTTTACCACAGAGTCTTTTGCAGCCCAGTGTCCCCCATCTGATTTGGGACCATGTCTCTGAAAGAATTGTTTCAAATTCTTAAAATTAATGCCTACCTCCCTGCTTGCAAATTATTGAGCATTGACTATGTTAGCAGTAATTTTAATTAAGTAATGAGAAATAGAGCTTTATGTATCCCATTTTGCATTTCTTCAAATTTAAATTCCACTGTCTTTGTTCTTTGATTTAAGCATGTTGAAAAAGAAAATCCCTGAATTACTTAATGCTATAAAGCTGACTTCCTTTTCCCAGAAGCAAAGGAGGGAGATTAAAGAACATATTACAAGCAAAGGCAGTTGCTGCTGGAGCTTTAACATTTGAATATTTTAGAAAAAATATTATTGATAAGTAAATACAAATGGGTTTCCCACTCGAGTATTTTCTTCAGTATTTTCGGCATAGTTTAACAGAATTTGTAAATTCCTAAATGAATAAGTATAGTTGAGGAGATAAATAGATGCAGAATGGTTGGAAATTTAGTGCATTATGCTAGAATTTGAACCCCTTTGTCATCTCAGAGAGATGTGAAGTTCTTGGAAAAGCATGAATTCTTAATAACATCTCACAAAAAAGGGAGGAAAATACGTACCTTTGATTTAATATGTAGAATCTTTTATTTGTATCACTGGAGACTCCTGGTGGTGGTTCCTTTCTGTTAGTATGAGATAATTATTACACTGAAAAAGATCTTGAGAAATCTCAGACTTTTGGGTTTTTTTTCTCCTTATGTAGTAATTGTGATAATTCTTTCAAGAAAGCCAAGCACAGATTTTATTTGAACTAGTGAATTCATTTGTTATTTAATGCAATTTAAATAATCAGAGAATTGCAAGTTTTAATATTCTGTCAGTGTCTTGCTATAAACATATTCAAAAATGTATCTCCAAGTTACATTTTTATGCCATTCTACCTACTTAGAAAAAAATAGCAATAAAGTCATAGTGAGAGCATTTGCTACTCATCTTTAATTTTAATATCAATCATAGTGTGAATCCTATCCTTCATCTGCTTGATAGATTAATAAAATTCTGGGGAAAAAAAGATAATTTGCCATGCTTATAAAACCTTACAAGAGCTTTCCAAAAGTTGTCTTCATATTCCTATATTGTTAAATTCTTCCATTGATAATATTGTAAGACTCTCAGGAATTTGAATCAGATCTGTTAAACATGTCCTTTGTAATAACAAAAGGATATTAAGCTATTTCTCAAAGACATTATAACAAAAAAAAATATAAAAATATTGAGCTGAAGGCAATTTTTAACATACCCACACATGATTGACAATTGCTTTTTATGAAGACTTAAGCTTGCCTTTGCTTTAGGAATTATTTTAGGAGTAAAATATGAATCAAACATAATAATCCATTGTCTCTTCTTAGGTGGTTAGGTCAATTCCATCTGAAAAGATGACCCAAAGGAGTAAAACTTCTGTAAAGACAGTATATTCCAAAACCAGATAAAGAGGATGGGATCCAGTGCAGACTAAGGAGTTTGTTACTTTGTATTGGTTAAAATCTTCAGGAAAAGATGATAGAAGTTAAAAATACTTTCTTTAGAATTTAGGATCGCCAAACCATCAATGATAATAAAGTACACTTATTTTTTTAAAATATTCAATGTTCAAAACATAACAATCCTCTAATATTTTATTTTCCCCCATCTTGTAAATAAAGAAACTGAAGCAGAAAGGTTTTAATGTGACTGTCATCCCAATAGATACTATTGCCATAGGATCTTTGCCATATGTGTTAAATTAAAGACAAAATGGATAACATGTTTGTATTTTGAGTCCTTACTTCCTATTGAGAATGTTCTTTTTTTCAGGATAAGCGCTTCTTGCTGTGATTTCCCACATCATTATTACTCATCATTAACTATACTCAATCACTCCTCTTCTTCCCAGTGCATGAAGAGCTGCAGTCTGTTATAATTGCCTGAGGTTGCCTGGGCTTTCTTTTTAGTGCTAATGAGGAGGTGGTGGAGAGGAAGTTCCGCATCAATTCCTCTTTCTGGTGCTGGAAAGTTCTTTGGAACACTCTTGAGCATCCATTCATTAAAGGAAGAGTCACAGAGGGCAATTCCTAAGGAAAATGATGTTCTACCCATTTGTAACAAGTTGTAAATAGCCAAATGCAGTCTGACCAAATTTAGAAAATACTTTAAAACTAGATAAATATAAACGTTAATTACCTTTGATTTTCACTAAAGCAAGTATACAAAGCAATGTCCTAGACAGAAAGAGACAAAAAGGAAAACACCTTCCTGGCTGCAGAGCATTTAGTAGTGACTTTGCTACTATTGTAGTTAACCTGTCGGCTGAGTCTGGATGCAGATAGTGCTCTCACAATCATTGCTAAAATTAAGTTCATTTGAAGTGGAGAGCTACAGGTGGGGAGTGATGATGACTTTTGATATCTCATTTCTCCTCCCAGCCCATGTGAGGCAGTAAGACTCTAGGAACAATAGCTCTTCTGTGGGGAGCTCTAAGGAAATGTCTATCAATATAGCTATTCCTTAGTATGTCACGTTTTATCTCTTGAGATGGGCACACATATGTCGTATTTATCTATATGTATGTGTCTATGTATGTTATATGTAATATATTACTTGGGAAAAATTGGTGAAACTATTAGCACCCATTATCATAAAATATCTGCCTACTGCATGGGAGGCACTGGGGATGTACAATGAAAAATGACACATTCCCTTCCATTAAGGAACTTATGCTACCCAGGGGAATAGAGAGAAGAGGCAAAGTTGGATTTCCTTCATTACATCTTTATTTATTCTACCAAGATAAACAGAAATTGATTTTATTAGCAAGAGGCTCCTATAAATGCTGCTTCTGGTGCTATTTCTTTTCAATTTTGTTGGGAATTTCCTAAGGAATATTCTTGAGATTCCATTTTAGAATTTTCTCATCGTTTGAGACAGATATAACAAGGTGATGAATGATGAGAATAAGTAGATTTCACTAAATTCATTCCATTAAAGAAAAATTAGATGAAACGTACTAGAGGTGATAAGAATGGACTGTCTGTCTTGGTGACAGCCTGTGTATAGTATTCAGTCATTTCCATTTTATGTTCTTGGTTGTTTGTCATCTTGTGAAATTGAGTGGTTATTAGGGATTTTACACCTTCATATACTTAATCTCAATGGGATATTTATTCATAACTATACTCAATTACAGATAATTAACCAATTCCCAGTTTTCTTTCAGGTAAATGTTGGAGATATAGTTATAATAAAAGGCAAAGAGTATATACCTGCTGACACTGTACTCCTATCATCAAGGTAGAGATACCTACTGATGCTCAAACAGTGTAGAGGCTGGTTTCTCTACCCTGCATTGAATCTGTGATTGCTCCAAGGAAATAAGGAATAAACAGAAGAATTTTTAACCTCTTTGATGATTTTAATTTAAATATTCAAAAATGTTTGGAAAGTCAAAACATTTTACTGCTTATCATATAGAATAAATGATAGGTTCTAAACTTTTAAATTTCAAGGTTAGAATTACATATAGAAGGCATCCTTAGGAGCAATGGTACTCCCAGGACTTCTGCATGTATTTTTAGCCTCATTCAATTTCCCTGTCATTTATTTTAGGTAATACATGGATTGTGCTATTTTAATCATACCTTGACTTTTTATTTATTTTTAATCAATTCCTTAATGGCATATTCATATTTTTTCACATTTTTTTTTATGTCTACAGTGGGATGGTACAGGAAAAAATACAACCTATATTTTTCTGTTTTGTAATATTACCATTTGAAATGGTTTATTCCCACGTACACACTGAAAATGCATATTCTTTCTTCTGTGCTCTTCATGTCAGAAAAGTAAATCAAAATAATTTTGTATTACTTTGTCATTTGTTTAAGATGTCCATGTATTACAATTGGAATTCCAAATATCAGATGATTTTATTCTTTATACAATATAAACTTTAAATGATTTTGTATACAAAAGCCATAAAACTAAACATAATAATTAATTTTTAAATAATTAAATATTTTAGAGGTTGTTTATTATCATTTCCTTGGACAGTTTTATTTATAAAATCCACATTTGTAATGTGGAAAGTGCACTTTTTTCAAAATCTATTTAATCAGGTCATTACTTAGAGTGATTCGATTTGTGATGAGTTAATGAAAAATAATTGTGCTGATAAAATTTTTTCAAGACATTTACAGAAGCAAATCTATGAACAGTTCATCTATCCTCTGGCCGGATGAACTGTTCATGAATAATTTCAGTATTGTTTTGAGAGTTTAAGAAAATGGTTTGCATTAAGTTTGTATCTCAAGGGAAGGAAGTTTTACTTCTTAACCCTTAATCTATTTTGAAAGTGATGTCTTGCCTCAAGAATGGTCCCAATCATAACAATGTCATGTAGTTACTTTAAGTAGTTTCTGAATTTACACAGTTATTGTAGACATTCTGAGTAGCTAATATCCCCAAACCAGAAATTCCTGGGTTTAAGCCCTGCCTTTTCCACATATTGGCTGTATGGCCAGGGGCAAGTCACTTAATCTTTCAGTACTTTTGATAACCCAAGTACACTGCTAAGACTTCAAGTTATACAAGGACTCGGAATTCCCTATACTGTGGTAAAACCAAAAGTCTTTTCACCCAAGCATGGTGATGACAAAAATGAATGACTTTTTTTTTTAACTTATTAACTATTTAACTTTCGTTCAATTAATTTTGAATTCTATGTTGTTATTTTATGCCTATTTTGAAACAGGGTTCTTTATTTGTTTGTATTATAATAATGTGCACTTGTCTTCAGGCTACCTGAGACTCTATCCATCTATCTCATAAGCTACACAATATAATTATTGAATTGTAAATCATGTGCAAGATTTGTTTTTATGAACCTTAAAAAACAGTTTTCTTTTGTCTCCTGATAATTCTAGGGTTCATTGTTTTTGTTGTTAGGAGTTTCTTTCTCTTTTACTATAATCAAAGGAGCATTATTGGAGAATTAGAAATATTTGACTTTCTTCTTGTTATTATTTTTATATAATTAGCTCAAGTAATGAACATTGCTATTCATTAACTAGTGCAAGACACAGATTTGTTAGGATGATACTGATAACAATACCATCTTATATTTGTAGAATCTTTTGTTCTTTTTCAGAAAGTTTTCTCATATATTATCTTATTTGTTTTTTTTTTTGTAACAACCTGCAAGGTACATAGAGCAGGTATTATCACCACTATTTCGAAAAGAAAGAACCTTGAAACATGAGAAATTTAACTGATTTGGCCAATGTAACAATATAGTTACTGAGAGAGTGGGAATTGTAATGCCTACCTGCCCCCCTACCATTTGATCCATTGACCTCCTCACTGTAGCACACTATTTTAAAAAATAAGTGCAGACCAACACTTATAATGATGATGATGATGCTACATTCTGACATTTAACATTTAAGATATTTTATATTCCAGATTTTCTAGCTAAGAGTTACATATTTTTATACAGTATCTCTTCTATGAGACTTTTGTGAGAGTTTTCCTAGGTTGTATTTTTGTTTTTAATAATGAGAGCTAGAAATCATACCACAGCCAATCTTTACTTTTAAATAGAAGAATATACTGATGTTGGTTTTCATATTATATTAATGAGCAGTGATATTTCATAAATTATCTGATAAATGCCTTTTTGGTTACCAATGCTACTTTTTAGTTACTCAAACCCATGAGAAGGAAGCTCCAACAGCAATGGACAGCTAGCTGTACTGCTAGTTGGAGCAGGCTCTTGGCTTGGCCTTCTTATTGCATTCATTTGAAACTTGATTCATTGGCCCATAGAGTTATTTCCCTAAGTCATTTTGCCCAATGCTTTTAGCTGGAACTGACTGTGGCAGTTGGGGGGAAAAAGCCATTATATTTCTGAGTTTCTACCTTCTCAAAGGCTGTGATACAACTTTGATGTTAACATGGTAGTTAGGTAATTCATTTCTAACATTGAACACTGTTTAAAGACATTAAAATATTATTTTTAGGAAAATGTTTTGAATGAGTATTTGTTGAATAGATATAATAAAAATGCAAGCTTTCTTTTTAAAAAATGTTTTCAAGCTTTTAAAAAAGAGAGACACAGAGAGAGACTTTTAAATAAATTAACTGTCGGAAGTCATAGTTTTGTTTCCTGGAGGATATTAACAAGAGGGAATAAAAATTTATAAACATGATTATTTATTAAAACTGAGAACTAGATTTGCAAATAAATTATACAACTGAGCAATTTTTTGAAAGTTGTCCTAGCCCTTTTAGACCTGGTTAAAATAGATTTTGAAAAATTTGCCTTTAGACATTTTTATTAACATATATTGTTTTATATAATAATTTCAAATTTTCTGTCTCTTTTGTCCATTTATGTTTTTTTTTCCTGTTACTCATTTTTTTCTGTTCTAATAATTTCAAACTGGGATATGTAGGTGGCAGTAGGGGAAATAGTGAGAGTGACCAATGGGGAACACCTCCCAGCAGATCTCATCAGTCTTTCTTCAAGGTTAGAATGAACAAGTTGCATAGGAAATGTGTATGTGGGTCCTCATACCAAATTAGAAGAATCTGACCCAATGTTATTGGGTAATGTGTCATTTTGAAACACAGAAAAATTGCTTTTCTTAGAAATGGGCATTTTGCAGATGTTCTAAAGACATTTAAAGAACATAATTGAAGATGTCTGGTCGCTTTTGGACCCTTGATTGTGCATATCAAACTCCTATTGGATTCAATAGGAGTCTCAAGCACAACAGTAAAAGTAGATTTGGGATTTGTTTATTTTAATTTTATGTAAAATATTAGTATATGTCTATATTTAAGAACAAATACTGAAGCTTTATTCTTGCCTCTTTAGGATTATTGACTCAAATGACATTTAGCTAAAGAAATTTTCATGAAAGAAACTGTTATTGGGAAACTACAATAAAAGTTTGCATTTTGTTTTTCAACTTTTATTTTAGAAGAAATAAATGCCTCTACTTTTTACTGCTTGAAATTTTTGACAAATTATTCCTAAAGTAACTACTCTGAGATTTAGGGTTTTATGGGATTTGTAGAGGACCCCCTGCACAAAACTCAGTGTTGTACATTTTGTACTGCATGCATTGGAATTATTATCAACACATTCCTAGTGACAAAGTGCACGTTAATGTGATATATTTCAGCTATATCCTAGTGTCTGTCCTGTGACTGCATCTTGTTTCATTTTTCCACTTACTAATCACAAAGCCTGCTTTGCCTCTCTGACTGTAGTCTGTGTTTTGGATGTCCTCATAATTTGCTAAAATATTTATTATCTAGCATGATTCTTTATCTGAAACATCTTTGCTGTCTTTTCTAAGTGCTATCTTTTGAAAACTGCTTCAGTAATGGGCTGTCTTCAGTTATTAATGAAAATGTCTTGTATTTTGAGTGTGCATTTGATTTGATCTAGTTCAAACAAAAGTTGTCTGTTTAATTTCCTTGAAAGAAATGGTTATTTTTGAGAGAGAGAGAGAGAATATATATATATATATATATACATATATATTAGAAGGGTCTTCTCATTTGAATGTCAAGGTGGCTTTGGGCAGTCAAGAAAATGTTCATGCTTTCCTGCAACAATATGGCATCCATGTTGCTCAATTTAACATTTGGTGTCTTTCCATTCTTCCATATTGTTAATCTGTGTTTGTGATTCTTTAATGGAGTAACAAATTGACCAATAGTTACTAAAAAACTAAATTACCATTGTGATGGTGATAAAAAATAAATTGATACAGTGAAAGCATATACACAATTAAAGCTCTTTCCTATGGAAGATAAGTAGGCACATTTATGAATTTAAAAGAATGTGAAATTATTTAGTTGTTTTTCAAAATTTCTATATGAAATAAATCTTTGCAACATTTGATTGACACAATTTTTGATTCATATCTTGAAGACATAAAAAGCTAAATTTCCATTATAGATTCTTAGTGTAACTATTTATGAAATTGGAAATTGATTAGGGCATTCCACATATGTCTAACTTACCAGACTTTCTAGTTAACTGTATATTAACTTCTTTCTGGAAGTACACAGGGAAGCAATAGTTCATCTAATTTTGATAGAATTTTAGTATATTTACTAACTAAAACTTGTTTATTGAAGATAATTGGAAAATCAAGCTAATTCCTCAACCAAGTGTTAAATAGATCAATGTGATTTTTGAATGCTTCCTTTTTCAGTTGTGGGCATGAATAAGTAGACTTTCCAGGTTTGTGCATATTACAGAGAAACTAATCATATACAAAAATAAATTTAACTGCAAAACTAATTTTAGCTCCCTATCCTTCCCCCCTTCCCTGATCTCTGAAAATGAGACTTTTTCCAGGGTAAAAAAAAAATAAACTTTATAAAATGGTGAAAGAAGTAACAAGACAGAAAGCATATATATGCCCACTTTTACTGAGAACAGAATTCATTCATTTGACCTAAGTTGACTTTTTTGGAGACAGTTATTTGAAGATTAGTGGATTTTCTTCATCACTTAAAAAGTGTTTTGAAAGTATAAGGAAAACAATCTAGAATGTTCTAATCAATTTCTGCCATCATTGAGGATTCCAGCTTTGAACATGAATCAAACATGATATTCTGAATTAACCTTAAACCTTGACACAGAGTTAGGTCCCTCCTTATATATTAATGTCTGTGCTGAGCCTGTACATGGTGAGCAAATTGGACTACAGTATGACAGACAAATCCATTTAGTTAGGACATCTTTAAGATAAATACTTACTGCATTACTGCAGCCAAATTGCTTATGAGATAGAAGAAAAAAAAACTCTAGTCCATTAGTTTCTCATGTATAGACAGACCCTGAATCTGAGGCTTGCTGTTCAAATTGAGCTGGTATATGTAAAAAGGAATTTTTATATTTAACTGCTGTATCCTAGAGGGAAGATAAGATTTGAGACTTCGTGAGTTTGAGCATTATGTAATTGATTACTGCTCCTGTGATTTTTTTTTTTGGCTAAATCTTTGTGATTTTTAATTTTAAATAACAGTGAGCCCCAGGCCATGTGTTACATTGAAACATCCAACTTGGATGGTGAAACTAACCTGAAAATACGACAGGTAAAATCTCATTTATTTTTTTTCATATCAATTGTAGTTGTATCAAGTGATATTAAAAATTTATTTTTTCCATGTCTCTTCAATTTAAATATTCATTAAACACCTACTATGTATGTGCCAAGTACTATGCTAATTGATGGAGGAGATGCTACGATTAAATTAGGCTGGGTGTCTGTTGTCACAGAGCTTATGGTCTGAGGTGTTTATATGTGCGTGTGTGCACACACATGTGCTCCTGCGTGTTGGTGAGGCCTAGGAGAGAGAGAGAGGACACATCAATCAGTCAATAAACAAGAATTTATTAAGCACTTATTATGTGCCTAGCACTTTGGTAAGCACTGAGGATATAAAGAAAAAGCCGCAAAGAGTTCCTGTCCTCTACATATGGAGACAAATAAGTTATGCACGGAGATTTTTACATACTTTTGAGAGAATGTTGGTTGTTTGCCAAAATTAATTTTACTGGCTTGAACACTAGTTTACTCCTAAGAAAAATCCTAAAAATATCTTAGAAATTACAATTTTATATCTTAGCCAATTGGCTAACAACAATTTTCTTTTAATGATATTGTATGGTTGCCAATATGGAATTGCCAAAGTCTTTAAAGAATTAAAGGTTAAAGTCACCCTAGGCATGAGAAGGCTGCAGCACATGCTAGTGAAGAATTGCATAAAAGAAGTGGTTGGACATCATCGGAGATATATGAATGAAAAAGCAGATGGGCTAGTCATGTGGCAAGATCAGAAGATCACAGATGAGACAGTTCTTGTACTCCATTGGCATTCAATGAACATCAGGTGATCTAAAGAAAGGTCCAAGCATGTTGTAAGCCCCTCCAGAAGTTCAATTCAATGGAGAAGATAACATGTACCTATATTGGTATGTAAAATATATTTACACATAATCATAATACACAATGAAATATGATAAATGCATAATAGAGGAAGAAACTAAGCACTTGCTATATGTTACTGTGAGAGTGGGGGAAGTGATTAATGAGCAGAGAAATCTAACATACTGAATAAGACAGTCAGGATCCAAAAAACATTCTTGTCAGGCTAGCACAAGTTCTTGACCTGGGGGATATAAGAATTTGGGTAGGAAAAAAATTACATCTTTCAATATAATTAATTCTCCTTTTTAATCCTCTATATTGGATCATATGCATTTAAATATATAATATTCATATTATTCTGAGATAGAGTCCATAGACTTGGCTTGACTGCCAAAGTTTAAAAACCTAGAGATCTAGATCACTGCAGTGAATCTAAAGCAATGAAATTCAATAGGGATAAATATAAAGTTTTATACTTAGGTTCAAAAATTCTACTTCTCAAGTATACAACAGGGTGTGGATATGGTGAGACATCAGTTTTTCTGAAAAATCTCTGGAGATTTAAGTGGAGTACCACCTCAATATCAACAGTGTGATGAGGCAGCCAAAATACAAAGGTTAATGCAGTCTTACATGAAGACAGTCACTAGCTTTTGGGGTAAGGAGGTAATCATCCCTCTATGCTCTGTCCTATTCAGACCACATTTTGATTATTGGGTTCAGCTCTGAATACTTTGGTTTAAAAAGAATATTCATGGTGGGCTATATAATAGGCATTTTTTTTTTAGGCAATTGGGGTTAAGTGACTTACCCAGGGTCACACAGCTAGTGAGTGTCAAGTGTTTTGTCTGAGGCCAGATTTGAACTCAGGTCCTCCTCACTTCAGGGCCGGTGCTCTATCCAGTGTGGCACCTAGCTGCCCCTCATGATAGGCATCTAAGAAAATGCTTATTGATTACTAGACTGGAAAGTATCGAAAGGAAGGCAACCAGGTGAATGGCCTTGAGTACTTATCATACAAGGATTGATTAAAGGGATGAATTGGGAATGTTTAAAGAAGAGAAGACAAGATAAGACTAAGGAAGGGAGAGGACATGATACTCATATTCTAATATTTAAATAGTTTTCATGGGAAAGATTAATTAGACTTTATCCATTTGACCCCAGAAAGTATCACCAGGAGTAGTGAATAGAAGTTGGAGAGGCAAATATAATATGGTATCAGGGAAAAAAAAAACCTTCATGACAGACTTATCCAAAAGAAGAATGGGTAGCTTTGAGGAATTGTGGGTTTCCTCCCATTGGAATTCTTCATAGAGTGGGTGGCTACTTGTTATGCTATAAAGGTGTGATTCCTTTTGGTTAAAGGATGGACTAGATGGTTTCTAAAGTGCCTTCTAGCTCTATATTTTATGATTCCCTAAATTAGGCAATGATTCATAGATGATTGGAAAATTGAATTTGGATCTTAATAGTTGGTTAGAATCTTAACAAGTGAAGAATCCAGGAAGGACAATGAACAGCTTTCTTGGCATAGGAAACAATGTAAGTAAAGGCACAAAGGTAAGGTATAAGATGAGATTTATCCTAAGAATTAGTTTGACAGATAGATGGTAGAGTGGCATGAAGTAAAAGTGAAAAAGTAAGGTGGTATCAAATTGTAAATGACCCTGAATGACAGTTGGCTAAGGAGTTAAAAATTTTATTTGGTAGGTGATAGTTAGCCAATGAAGGATTTTGAATGGAAGAATGATATAATCATATCTTTGAATAAAGAAGTTTACTCTCCAAATGATATGAAGATTTAATTAGATAGGGATCAGTCTAGGAGGGATGGCTATTAAAATAATCCAAACAGGTAATAATGAAATTTTATGCTAGAATGGTTGCAGTGAGAGAAGAGACAAGAGGCCAGATTTGAAAAACGTTTTTTGGAAAACTTAATGACTTGCAGAGAGAGAAAACATTGCTGAATGATGGAGAGTGGAGTGGAAAATAACATCATGGTTTCATATAAGGGTAACTGGATGAATGGTGGTGCCACCCATCAAAATGGAAAAGCCAGTAGGGGAGCAGGCTTTCAGGAAAAGAAAATAAACTTGATTGGTAGCAGTTTGTGAATGCAAAAGAGACAAAAAGAGGGTCAAGGCCATAATGATATTGAGGGATGAGGAAGAGGAGCTGAAGACAATTAAAGTACAGTTGGAGAAGTAGGAGAACCATGAGAATGTAGTGTCTAGACATCCAAATCTATGGGAAGATTGAAGATGGAGGAAAGGCCTTTGGATTTAGCAATAACATCATTGGTGACCTTTAAGGAAAAATGTCAATAAAATAGTAAGTGTAAAAACCAGATGGTAAGGGGGTTGCTTAGTAAATGGGGAATGAGAAAATAGAAGCTTTAAGAACTGTTCTTGTTTTTTTCCCCAAGAATTTGGCAGTTAAAGAAAGGCACCAAATGGTAGTTTGATATAGAGGGTCAAAAGAAGAGATAGAGAATTCATTACTTCATTAAGAACTTGCTATATCAGGCATTTTGCTAAGTTTTGAGGTTACGAGAACAAGATGGTCTCTACTCTCAAGAAGCTTACATTATAATGGGGGAAGATAACACATGAAAGCAAGGTAGAAAGAGATCTGTGGCTGGTAAACAGTGGAGCATACCTTAGAATGAGTCAGTAGGGAAGTAAGCAACTTCTGATGAGTTTTAGGAATTCACCATTTTAGAAAATTCAAATAGGAAGGAGCCAATAGAGACTGACAGATCAAAGATGTTTGAGAATGAAGAAAGGTCCTAAAGGATGTAAAAGAGGAGGAGATCAAGGACTAGATAGAGATTATAGCCTTGCCAAGGAGTAGGATATTTGTGGAGCTTGCATCTAGGATAGTAGAAGTTTATGGTAGTGATAGATAACTCCAAGGTTGGAGACTAAAAAAGTAGAGAAGGGACAGATAGTGTGTGTGTGTGTGTGTCTGTGTGTCTGTGTGTCTGTGTGTATGTGAGAGAGAGAGAGATGGAGAGAGAGAGACAGAGAGGGAGAGAGAGAGGCAGAGAGAGAGAGACAGAGACAGAGGAAAATAAGGGAAATAATTACAATTTCAGGAAATTCATTCCCTAGGGTTTTAATTTAGTTGTGTATGAGTTGAAGAGCTAATAGAATTAATTTACCTCCATAGTTTTAGGTAGGAAGTAGAATTATGGCATATGACAATGTTTGCATCTTATTATAATTAAGTTAGTCATATTTTTTCTTACACAAACAAATGACTCCATCTCCACAAGAATTCTCCTTTTATTAAAATACCAGAATATATTTAGATAGTCAATCATCATCATTTTACAGTAGTGTAAAGTTTAAAAAGTACTTTACATATGGTATCTCTTAACTACACATTATTGTGTTACATGTTACTGTGTTATTACATGTCTGGCACATGGTCAGTGAAAATATACTGGTATTGAAATGACAAAAGTTAGTTCCTTTGTGTTAAATAACCACAAGAAGTTAAGATGAACAAATAGATGGATGTTTATTTCCCAAGATGCTATAAAATAATTCACTAAGTTCAGAAAGTTTTCATTTTCTTCATTTTCTAACTTATACTATTCCTCCTCGCTGAGACACCACCTCCACTGGCCACCTGCATGTAAAACATCTGGAAATTGTGATGATACAGGTTTGGAGATGGGAAGCACAGTTGAAATACTATTTCAGATAATTAGTTCCCTGGGGGCTAGGTGAGCTGTGAATTTGTAACTTGGATGTTAATTATCTAATGAAACTAGAACAGCACAAAACACCTGGGTTCAAATTGGTAGGAAGAGAGAAGAATAAAGAGAGAAGTTAGCTGAAGTTGTTTCTGGGAGTAGAAAGTTCAGTGACAATTTGGGAGCAAAATTCATTCCTAATCAGTCTGAGAGAACATGCCCACTTTCTTCTAGAACTTAACCCTGGAGAGAGAATTATCATGCTTATACCCTAACTTCTCACTACTGTGTCATCCTAGATACTGCAAATTTTCATTCTCTCACAATTTCTACCTTATACTTCCCCTTTTAAAAATTATGTCATAGTTGAAGGGGGGGGGGGTTGAGTATTCGTCCCAATCAATACTTTGACTTGGTTCAAAAGGAAGTTGAAGAAGAAGTCTTGACTTTTTGTCCTCTTGAAAGATTGGGATAAGTCCTGAGGGTTATGTGTGTGAGTCAATTAATATGGTCAGAATATGATGAACTTTTCTTTCTTTGTAAAAACAGGGTTTGCCAGCAACATCAGAGATTAAGGATATTGACAGTTTAATGAGAATTTCTGGCAGAATTGAGTGTGAGAGTCCAAATCGGCATCTTTATGATTTTGTTGGCAATATTAGGCTTGATGGACATGGGTATGTATGATCTAAATTCAATACTTTTTACTGTACAAAATAAGTTATAGTTTTTTTTTTACAACCTAATCCCACTGGATTGTGTTACATATGTGAAGCTCTACCTAGAAATTTGCTTAGTTATTAATATTGACATTTTAGCTTCTTTTGTTGTGAAAATACATTGTCTAGGGTTGGTTTGTTTTTTTTAGTAGTTCTATTATGTAGGGAAACCAATGAATAGTCTCCCTAATGCTTATAATCTAATAGCTAAACACCCTCAGAAGCATGTCCATTGTCAATTAAATCAGAATGAATAGGAGACTTTGTGACTGTCATATTCATGCCAAAGCATAATTCTACCCCACCTTTTCTTTCTGGAAAATTTCAGGGGCCCCCAGGATGTGCTTGGTAGATCCTGACTTAGACCTGTGTATAGAAGAGTGCTGGTAATGGCCCAGTGAAAAATGATGGGATTTCAGATTAGGCTTTCCTCATATATAGGGCTATCCTGAGAAGGTAGAGTAATTCCCAAGAAGGAGGTTCCAAATGACTTCAGATAGATTTCCTGGACTCATAGCATCAGTTCTGAGGCATAATAGATACCAATGATTCTGAATGTGCCATCATAATCATATTTTGAGGTACAAGTAAAAGAATGAATAAAAAAGGCATTTATTAAGCTCTTCCTATATATAAAGCATTGTGTTGAGCTCTGGGGATACAAATAGAAGTTGTAAGACAATCCCTATTCTTAAGCAGCTCACATTATAATGGAGAAGAAAATACTCACTGGAGGTTTCAGGGGGAAGTTATGTAGAAAGGCCCTACGTAGCAGATGATAATGCATCCTCTTTAATGTTGTTTACGTGGATTTAACTATATATGTTTCTGACGTTGAACTATTTGACAATGCCAAAAACTTTAGTGGCAAGAGGTCTTTTCCCTGATCTTGAGTAGCTATAATTGCTGAGACTGGGGCTGCTGAGGCACCTGCAGAAGCAATTGCCAGATTTCATCTCCACCAGGATTGTTCTTCTGGATGATGGCTGTCAGCGACATTAGTGGGAACAGGGCCTGGGGCAACCACTATTCATATATTGCTTGAGCTTACATGTCTGTCAATGGTGGTTGGATGGCAGTTGGTTTTGATGGGAGTGAAGATGTCGGGCTTCTTCTCCACAGGCATTGCTCTCATGATAATGGCTGAAGATGCAGTATGGAGCTCTGGATGTTTGTCATGCACTCTGGGGTTACTCAGCAACAGCCCTTGTGTGGAGCCTTTCTTCTACTTGTGACAAACAGTGGTGGATTTTGAAAAGTGCTTGTGGAACCTGTAACCTCAAGGCCACGTGTGGCCTTCTGGGTCCTTGGGTGTGGCCTTTTGAGTCCAAGTTTTATAGAACAAAGAGGATTTGTTCTGTAGAACTTGGATTTAGTCAAAGAGCCGCACTTGAGGACCTAGAGGGCCACATATGGCCTTGAGGTCACAGGTTCCCCACCATTGTCTCAATGGTTGGACCATTCCCAAGGTTATACAATATCATATCAGAATATGAACTTCAGACTCTGGATTTTCTCTTTTAAGTCAATATCTCTAGCCTTCATTTTTTTCCCCCAGTGTCATCAAGTTGTTACTTACATCAAATGACCAGCTAGTATTTGAACACATAAGTTTAGCACTAAGGAATATCTGCCAATACTTTCCATTCTTTTATTTTGGGTAAGCAATGGGGTTAAGTGACTTGCCCAGGGTCACACAGCTAGTAAGTGTTATGTGTCTGAGGCCGGATTTGAACTCAGGTCCTCCTGAATTCAGAGCCGGTGCTCTATCCACTGTGCCACCTAGCTGCCCCCAATACTTTCCATTCTTGACTCATGTTTATAGTTGAGCATGAGATGACTTTGATTTTCCATGAATTTAATCTTCATTGAGAGTATAAAATTGATTCTCTGTGGTTTTAAAATAATTTAAAGTTAATTTCCAAAATTCCATACTAATATATGAAAGTATTCCCCATACAAGGAATTGTAAGTGTGCTATGTCTACACTTTACTATTCTTGCCTGGCTGGTACCCATACTCTCCTACCAGTTTCTCTATGTTTTTGTGCCACTGGAGGCCAAACCACTCCATTCTGTTGCACTGCTCAGCATAAAATGTCTACTCATAGAATGTATTTAAGGAGCTTATTCTATATGGAAAAATTGAACCAAAATTTCTGACCCATGGGTTTCTATGACATGTTTAACTTTTCAAAGTACTTTCATGATTAAAAAATATTATGTATTTTATTTTTAGGGGAAAGGAACAAGAGAATAAGCTTTTTTAAAGCACTTGTTACATACCAGGCACTGTGCTAAGTGCTTTACAAATGTTATCTCATTTTACATCATCTTAGTTCCCAAGTATATCCCTGCCTTTCCATTTTTTAAATAAGAAATTTTTAAAAGGAAAGAAAAAAAAAACAGTTGAGCAAAATTAACCAACACATCAATCAAAGCTGACAGTATGTGCAGTGTTCCACAGCCATAGTCCTCCACCTCTGCAAAGGAGGGGGTGGAAAGTACATTTTCTCTCTCATCTTTGGGTACCAACTTAGTCATAATTACACAATTCATTTTTTTTCTTATAAATTTGTAATGTAAGTAGGACATATCCCCACTTGATAGATGAAGAAACATTGACCCAGAGCAGTTAATTGACTTGTCTAAGAATACTGCAGTTAGTGACGGGATCAGAATTTGACCCCAAGTCTCTTAACGTCTTAAAACTGACATTTATATAGTACAAATTATTATATATGTGTATATACACATATATGTATATCTTTATATGCATGTTATATAGAAAGAGATGTCTTGATCTTCACACTAAATCTATAAAGCAAGCATGTATAAGTATTATCATCATCCCCATTTTTATAGATGAGGAAACTAGCTCAAAGAGTTGACCTGGCTATGGTGAATGTGGAAGGACATCTGCTCTTCCTTGACTTCAAACCAGTATTGTTTTTACTCTACCACTAGTCCATGCTAGCTCACTTAAATAGAGCTATTGTTTAAATTGATGGTGACAACTCTCTATGGTCTTATTTCCTTTTTTCTCCAATTTTAATTACTAATATATTGGTATTGAATTGGCATTAGCCACAAGTGTGACTATTATAGTCCTGTTTGGGGATAAAAATGGCAGTATATGCATCTGAGTGTAACTCTTTTGTGCTTTAAGTCTAACAACTTCAAAAATCTCCAAAACCTTTTGGAGTGGGGACAACCTGTGTTAGCCCGGTTTAAGTCTTGTTTGAGCATCAAGTTAGGGAGGAACAAAGGGAAAAAAGGATATTTAGTCTTCCATGTGTCCTTTTGCACAAAGTATCTAACTGGTTCTATTATTACTTTTTCCTACTCTGATTTGGTATAGGGCCAACACTGTAGGACAATTCCCTAAGATCTCTCTTGTTTTTTATGGTGTTAGGTAGCTTTATTTTGTTGGAGTAATTTTATGTGTCAGTGCTCTGCCCTTCCAATTAGTCAGGAACATAATTCACTGAATCAAGAAAGATGACATCAGAGGTCTATGCTGGAGGATCTGTTTCTTCATGTGACCAAAATATAGACTTATAAGAAAAGAAATTCTCATTGTTTATCCATTTGGTAGAACATATATATTTCTCTAATTTATCTATTAGCTTATAATGTCTTGGGCATCAATTACTTTGTCTGCTGCACTTAGCATGGTACCCATCACATAGTAGGTGCTTAATTAATGCTTGTTGACTTTACTTGACTAAGAAATTCTACATTTTGAAGAGAATTAACCCTTGTTTGTTCAAAGATAGGTTTTTCTATGGTTCTCCTCTCCCAAACCCACTATTCTTCTCATTGGGCTCCTGTTTGCCTTTTTTTTTTTTTGGTTCATACTAGTTTTAAAAACGAGCTACCCAATGTTAAGCTCTTTAGCCATTTGTTTTCTTTTATTAAATCCCTCTTCCCCCCCCCCTTTTTTTTATTACTGTCTCAGAAGAATCTTGTAAATGTTTAAGGTTGTGTGCTTCCCAGTTCTATTCTTCGTCCCCAGAATAGATATGAAAGACACAATTGATCATTTGCCTTATTATTGGAAAATTGGTCTGTTGGGTAATAGATTGTGCTGACCATTTTCACTTTTCTCTTCAATGGGAATCCTCACAACAGCACATCACTACTATAAGATCAATATGAATTAATCAACTCTCCAAAGAATATATATTATTAAGTACATAGAAGCCATGTATATTAGTAGATCACTAGTTAGTTACTCCTGGGTGCCCAAAGATGGACAAATTTTATCAATAGGTAGAATTGGAAAGAAAAAAGAGAGAGAGGAAGAGGTAACTTTGACTAACCAATATGTGTGTTAGAGATAAATGAAATTATTTTTAAACCTAGTATTTCTCAAGGTTAAAAGGAGATTTTGAAACATTTCTTTTTTCATTTTGGGGAGAAAAAAAGATGATATCTAAATCCAAGTATTTTAAAAGTCAAAGTAGATCAGACTCATTCAACAGAAAGCATAAATGTGCAAGAGTTCAAAATATTCCATGTCAGTTTGTAAGAATGATAGTAATTCCTAAAATTCTCAGGGAAAACAAAATAAAGTTCATTTTGGAAAACAATTATGACATTAGGAACATAGAAGTCATTAATTGGTTTAAGGGGGAATTTTTTTCAGACTAAACAAAATGCTTTTTCAGAGTTTTAGAAGGAATAGATTTTATTGTTGATATAATATATCCTTCATTACAGAACTGTTCCCCTGGGAGCTGATCAAATTCTTCTACGAGGAGCTCAATTGAGAAATACACAATGGGTTCATGGGATAGTGGTCTATACTGGACATGATACCAAGCTTATGCAGGTAAGTTCCTCTTGAGTTGTGAAAATTTTTGGTGTACTAGTTTTTAAGTTTTATTTTGCATCTAGTTTCTAGCACATTTGTGTGTTTATCCTTAAGCAGATTATGTTATTCTGTTATTTTAACTACCAGGATGAACTTTTTCACCCCTAAACCATCATTTTAGTGTATGAACATCCAAAATATTTTCTGGATATCACTTTCTAAACTAACCTAAGTGTTGTATAGTCAGAAAGACTCCCAAATGCTGCCTCTGGCATTAGCTCTGTGACTCTGGGTACATCAAATAATCTCTTTGTGCCTCTGGCAACTCCTTAGAACTTAGCCACTAAGTCTTAGGTGGGCTGCAGTTTGTACTGGTAAAGAGTTCCCATTCCAGACTTGTATAGTCTGATGAGAACCTCCACTTTGACAGAAACACAAATATTTATTTTTTAAAATATTGACAGCAGTGATTTTTGTAATCTTTTTTTTTAAGGCAATTGAGGTTAAGTGACTTGCCCAGGGTCACACAGCTAGTAAGTGTCAAGTGATTGGTCTGAGGTTGGATTTGAACTCGGGTCCTCCTGACTTCAGGGCCAGCGCTCTATTCATTGCACCACCTAGCTGCCCAAAAGAACTCTTTTTTTTTGTTTTTTTGGCAATTGGGGTTAAGTGACTTGCCCAGGGTCACACAGCTAGTAAGTATCAAGTGTTTGGTCTGAGGCCGGATTTGAACTCAGGTCCTCCTGACTTCAGGGCCGGTGCTCTATCCACTGCGCCACCTAGCTGCCGACAGCAGTGATTTTTAAAATGTTATGAATGATAAACAGTAATTTAGAAAGCAGAATATGGCACAGGATATAGTGGTGCAAAAATTCTAGGAATTACAGGGGTCAGTAAATATTCTCTGTGCTACCCTGGGCATCTGGTTATGATACTAACCCTACCCAGGTGGAAGCCATTATTAATTTCATCTTAGTCAAAGCAAATTTATCTTTTAGTTCCATAGATTAAAAGCTCTGTTTAACTTGCTTAACATAGGTTGGGTAGCATCATCTTTACGACAACTAGAAATGTGCAAATTTGTCTTTATCTATCACTGTGCCAAATTGATTATGTTGAGCTATAGGGGATGTGTTTAGTAAATTAATGTCCACCTGCCACCAATCACTGGAGTCTTTTCAGGAGCTTGATACTTAATAGCCTGTGATCATGCACAGGTCCACTTGCCCACTTCTGCTGCTAGGATATCTTCCTTACCTTGGACTCTAAATAATGTGATTTTTCAATATACATACCATGAATAAGAGGGCCTGGCAGATGAACAAATAGTTCTACCTTCACTTCACTTTTGTCCATCTCATCGATTGTAGAGAACAAATGGCCTTCAAGAGGAGATGATGGGCTGACAACTACTAGTTTTACTACACTACGATTAAGTTCTCTTTGTAATTCTCTTTTGCATGTTACTATATAGAACTCTTCAACAGTTTCAAATAATATTAGGGATGGTATATGGCAGAAAAGTCTTTGGTATTAGAGGGAGTAATAATAGATCATTAGTGCCTTTTTGTCATTAGAGTTCTTGTATTTAGGACTCATCCCCTGCAGGACAAGCCCTAGCAAAGCTAATGATTCATTACCCAACATGACCAAGTGATTGGACTTTTAGCGGAGGGGACATCGCTGGTGTCTATGAGTTTAACTTGGCAAAAAATGTCAGAGTAGTATCTGTCCATCTGGGAAAGCAGGCTCAGAATGAGAGAACAAATGAATATGGTGGAAGTAGCTATGCAGGTGGAATACCAATGGAGAGGGCTAAAAGGTCCCTCTTGCTTTATTGCCTTGAGACTTAAGGTCCATGTAGTATAGTTGCAAAAGACTACTATTTCATCAAGGTAGAAACCAACCAGTCATAACATAAGGTGAGATGAGAAGACAAGAAGCTTTTGTTGCAACCACAACATGTAGACATCCAGGATGGGATGAAGGAAGCACCATGGACTGAAATTCAGGGGAGGTACCTATAAAGAGAAGAGTAATATCTCTTTGGAAATTTGCAGAGGGACAAAAAGGCTCTTGCCTAAATCTTGGCCATTCGACTGACCCAAGATGACCAAACCGAGGAACAATAAAATTTGGAAGTCCCTGCTTAGGTCATCTGAAAATGGGATATCAGCTCTTATGAGTTTAAGTTTCAAGGTTACCAAGAGAATGGGTATATAGAGAGAATAAGGTCCAGGAAAAAAAACATTGAGTAATACTCAGAATTAGGGAGTGTGGTATGGAAGATGAGCCAGCAAGCAAAATAGAAAGAGTGGTCAGGCAATAAGAAAAGAAGTAAGAGAGAGTAATGTCATGAAAACCCAGAGAGGAGAATGGTCAACAGGTTGAATGCAGTAGATAGGTCAAGAAAGATGAAGACTAAGAAATGACCACCAAATGTAGCAATTAAGAGATCATTAGTAATTGGAGAGAGCTATTTCATTTGAGTGAGGGGAATGTAAGTCAGATTGCAAAGGATTGAAAAGTGAGTGAGAGGAAAGGAAATGAAGACAAGAAGTATAGACAACTTTTTCTAGAAATTTGGCTGATAAAATGAGGAAAGATGTAGGACAACAGCATGAGAGGCTGTTATCTATGTCTATAGTCTTATGTATGGTCTAGCAAGAGTGTTTTAAGGGTAAGGGAAACTTGAGCATGTTTGAAGGAAGTTGGAAAGGAACCAGAAGAAATTGAAGGTTTGAGAGGATGATTGAGTAGATTGAGTCTGCTAGAGAAGGAAAGACAATATGAAATCAAGCACACATGTAGAGATGTTGGCCTTGGCAAGAAAAGCTACTTGTTTGTCAGAGACTGGGGGACTCCTTTTTTCCATGCTTCTTTATTTCTCTCAAAGCACTTAAATGTTTTTAGTCTCTCAAGTTCATGACTTCAGCATTGTCCTCAAGTCCTTACATTCCTTCACCCCTCCTCCCACATCCAGTCAGGCCAAATCTTATCATTTCTACCATTACATTATCTCTCATATCCAACCCCCCCCTTTGTTTTTACTCACCCAGCTACCCACCCTACTTCAGATTCTTTTAACCTTTCACCTTGATTATTGCGACTGACTTCTGATTGATCTCCATGCCTCATCTGTCACCACTTCAATCAATCTACACACTGCTGCCAAAGTAATTTTCCTGACATTGGGCAGATTTGACCACGTGACTCTCTTACTCAGCCAACTCCAAAGGTTCTTATTGCCTCTAGGATAAAATACAAATTCCTTTTTTTGGTTTTGAAACCTTTTATCTTCTGACCCCAACCTATCTTTCCAGCACTATTAGACGTTACTTCCCTCCTACATTCTGCAATCTAGTCAGACTGGCCTTTCTCTTCCTCACATATATCAGTCCGACTCCTTTACCCATAGCTTTGTACCAGCTGTCCTCTTTGTGTTGAATGCACTCCTTCCTCAACTTATAGAATTCCCCTCTTACTTCAAGAGGCAGTTCAAGGACCAACTTTTACATGAAGCCATTCCTGATCCCTCCAATTTCTAGTGCCCTCCCTCCCAAACTGCCTCCTAGTTAAGTGCTTTGCATTTATTTGTATTTATTGTCTTTATCTTCTGTTTATACTCATATATATATCCCTTTCCTATTTGAATGTAAGTTCTTTTCAAATAGGGATTGTTTCATTCTTTACACTGGTATCCCCAGCCCCTAGAACAGTGTCTGGAACATAGTCGGTGCTTCATAAATGCTTCTTAGTTGAGTGATTGATTGATTGATTGATTAGGCGCATACTTCTCCCTGTTACAGTGATAACTAGGGAAGAAGATTTTGGAAACTTGCAAAAGATAGCTCTAGCCAGTCAACTCCCAATCTGTAGAACTAGAAGTAAATTAATATTAAGAGTCAAAGAAATACTTAATGGTGAGCAGAAGTTAAGAAGAACGACAAATATCATGTATATCAGTGGTGTCAAACTCAAAAAAACAGGGTGTCTAATCTAGATTCCTATGGGCAACATATTAACTTAATTTTAATATGTAAAATTATCTGTTTTATTGTATTTTTATTTAGTTTGCATCCCTGTGGGCAACATATTAACTTAGTTTTAAAATGTAAAATTATCTATGTTTTATTGTATTTTTATTTATTTTGTTAAATATTGCCCAGTTGCATTTTAATTTGGGTTGGCCCATGCTAGAAGTGTTTTGGGCCTTATGCAGCCCATGTCTGACACCTCTGATATGGTTGGTGAAGAAGCAGGTATCACTTGTAAATACCTTTTGTAAACTAAACTTTTCATCCATTAACAGAAACCTACTCCCCTATTTCCTGCCCTTCTATATTCCTTCGTAAGGCTTCATAGAAAATCTTTATAAATGCTTAAAGGATTGATTAGCTTTTTCTTAGGAACCAGGGGAAAGGAAACTAAGGATTTGTGGGGTGCTAGTAAATGAGGGTGGCAGCTTGAATCCTGAAGCCACCACAAAGTAGCCAAAACCCATCCTGGCTCATGGAACAGTACTGTGGTTGCAGGGATTCCTTTGGGGTATAATATAGGTACATATAAATTCAAAGGAAAGCATTTTATTTAAATTTTACTTGGAGATATTTTGTTTATTTGTAAAGAATTTTTGTTTATTTTACTTTTAGAAGTGTTGAATAATTATAATATTGAATTTGAGTTTGGGAGAGAAGCTGTATCTTTTATAAATATTCATTATTCTAATGAATAGTTTAAATCTCAAAGTACAGGAAATCATGGCTTACACGGTTAATAAACTATTACATACATACACACACAAGCACACACATTTTGAGAACTCATTTTGGTTGTTTTCTTTTCTCCCTGCAGAATTCAACAAGCCCACCCCTGAAGCTCTCCAATGTGGAACGGATTACAAACATACAAATACTGATTTTATTTTGTATATTGATTGCCATGTCTCTAATCTGTTCCATTGGTTCAGCTATTTGGAATCGAAGGCATTCTGGAAGGGATTGGTATCTCAATCTCAATTGTAAGTCTTAAAATAATTATGTCAAAAGGTGTTTCCTATGTCATAAGGATAATTTTGGTACTCATGTTTAAACAGTTCCAAACAACCATCTTTAAAGACAATGAAAAGAGCTGTTTATTGCTTTTATATGAATCCTTTTGGAACAGAGGAGTCTCAGCTTATAAGAATACTAATTCTAGAGTACCTAAATGAAATTCATTAGGCTATGAGTCTTGTTATATCATGCGCCTTCTCAGATCCAGATAATGATGTACTCTTTGCATTGTGTTGCATTTAAAAAAAAATTTTATTCAGAAATTTCTCAATGAATGACTGTGGGGAAAATATCAAAGCACTGTGGACTCTTGTGAATGTACCCAGAAGGCATTCACTGTCTCTCAGTCTCTGTCTTTGAGGCAATAGAGGGCTGGCCTTGAGTTAGTAAGACCTACCTTGGGAACATGCTGACTTTGTGACCTTTGGCACATCCTTAAACTTCTCAGTGCCCCAGGTAGTGTTTTAAGACTCTAAGTTCCTCCTGAGTTTCCACATGGAGGGAATTCTCCACACTGAGAAGAAATCAGTTCTAGAATACAAAAAATCCTTGAGGCATTTGGAAAATGTTCTGACTGTTCCTGGAAAATAAGTCTGATATAAAAGGCAAAGAGAAGCTGATTTTTATGTTTGCCATAATGATAAAATTACTGAAAATAAAATTTATAATCAATTTATTTTTATAATCTTCATTTTTTAAATGTAAATTTTATAAGAATACAAGATGGTTCAGTACATATACACAGGGATATACAGCAAATGAAAGTTTCTTTTAAAAAGATTTTTTTTAAGTAGGAAATTGCTCAGTTACATTTACTAATGAAAGGAGAGCTCAACTAAGTTTGTGTTTATGGCAATTGCAATAATCATTTGGGAGCTTTGAAGTATTTTACAAGCTTTAAAACATGTTAAAAGTGAAAATACTTTGACTTTCAATTCATGAGAGCAAATGAATTCTCTACTATTAGTCAAGCTTTCCTGCTGAGAAGTGTCATTAAAATAGTTTCCTTTAAGAACATTTATATTCTTTACTATTATGGACTTAATGAAACACTAATGAGCATTTCTAATAAATGCTTTGTAATTCCTTTTGATATGTATCTAGCTAATAAATAATTCTCACTCTAGAAAAATGTTTTAAAAATACCAGGAAATCTTGTAGAAAAATTCATTTTCTTTCTCTGCTTTATAACATTTGTTCAGGGATGCATGCCTTCCAAAGCTAGTCTTAAAGTAATTGATTTGTTATCCTTACGTCATTTGTTATTCCTGTAGCCTATAATAATAGCTTTGGTGCTACTATGATTTTGTACTTATATTGTTTATAATTGATTGGGGGAAGCAATAAGTAGTATGTACAAAAGTAACTGACACAAGGGAAAGATTGGGATGGACTATAAAGAGAAATATGACCAAAGTCTTATAAGAAAGTTGGAGAGAGAGAGAGAGAGAACTTTCCCTGGCTCCTTCGTGGAAGACTTTCCAGAGTGGTAGTATCTAAATTGCATCTTGAAGGAAGTCAAGGATTTTAGCAGATGAAGAGGAGAAAGAAAGATCAGTCTAGGAATAACATATTATTATGATAATGAATGAACAGCATCGAAAGCTAGGGCAAGGTGAGATCATGGGGCAAAGTCCTTGGTGACTGGGATACAAAGGGGAGTAGGATGAGATAAAGTTGGAAACCAGATTGTGGGAGGGCCTTGAATGCCAAATATGAGCCTGGGATACTGGGAGGATGATAGTGCCATTGTCAAAAATAAAAATGTTAGGGATAGAGACAGTTTAGGGAGGAAGATGCTGAGTTCCAGTCCAAATATGTTGAGTTTGAAGTGATAGAGCAATATTTACTTGAACATATCCAGGAAGTAGCAGGAGTATGCAATCAAAGTTCTGGGAAGAGCCTGGGGACATGTAGTGTGCAAATACATATTTGGGAATCACCTACATAGAGGAGATAATTAAGACCTTAAGGTCATTGGAGTGGAAGAACTTACCAGGTTCATAACATTTTGAGGTAGAGGGGACCTCAGAGCCAGTATTCACCAAGGGAAAGAAGAGAAAGTTGGACAAAAAGAGAACCTAATACATATACGTGAGAAATATACAGGTTTAAGGGGACAAAGGAGGATAAGAAAATAGCAAGAGAAATAAAACAGGAGAGGTCAAAAAGGCAGGAAAATCACAAATATTCAGTATAAAGGTGTGGGGTGAGGTGGATGGATCATTTTTCATTTTGATTGTTGATGAAGCAGAATATTGTGTATTTAAATCTGAGGGAAATATATACTATAGACAGTTTTTTTTTTCAAAGAAGCTCCTGATAAGATCTTGTGTAAGATAATCCTTGCTTCTGTGAAATTTGCACATTCTAACTCGCTGCTTTTTCCTTGTTGTCCAAGGACTTCTTGATTAGTAATGATTCTTAAAAGGACTTGCCAATAGTGTGAGCATTGATTCTGAAACACAATTCATATATTTGAGAAAAAGGGACTATTATCTGCCCAACATGTATGAAAAATTGATAATTATTTATCATATATTAAAAGACAATTTTTTTCCTATTGAAGTTCTAAGTTATTTTACTTTTTTTTGTCACCAGAAATAACTTTTTTTTCCTTTTTAACAGATGGTGGTGCTAGCAATTTTGGATTGAATTTCTTGACTTTTATCATCCTCTTCAACAACCTCATTCCAATCAGCTTATTGGTTACATTAGAAGTTGTTAAATTTACCCAGGCTTACTTCATAAATTGGGTAAATAGGATTAATTTTTGTGGTTTATACAATCTTGTACATTGTGTTACTTATCAAAAAACATTTGGTGCTTATATATTTTCTTCTTACATTAGAAATTTTTTATTACAAAATGTACATTCAATTTTTGGCAGGCATAAGGAAAATTAAAAAAATATATTGTACATGTGAAAGGAAACAATTTTATACATAATTAAATAGAAATTTTTTGAACCTATGATGACATTAAATATTTGTTCTGTGCATTCATCTGCTATACTTAACATTTATTAAATCAAAAGTGTAATGTGTTAACAATTCAAGACTATAGAATCATATAGTTACATATTTAAATTACTTTTATTTAAGATGTATTTTTATTATTTGCTCTCTTCACTTTTCTAGCCAAATAATGTGTGATTCTCTTTCATTTTAAAATTTGAACTCTCAAAACATGTATTAAAATCTGAACTGAAGTATAATGGGCTAAAAATTAATTCTAGAACAAAAAGACAATGTTTGTGAAATTGAAATTCAGATTGGAGGTACATCTCTGCTAATAATTAGCTCTATAACCATGGGCAAATCATTAAATTTTATTTCCCTGGACCTCAGTTTTCCCATCTGCAGTTGGAACAACCTCTTAAGTTCCATTCCAACTTAAGATTGCAGTGGTGATAAGGTTTGAGCCCGATTTTGGTTAGTTGGCTTTGTACTGACCCATGGCTGCAGACTGTAGGCTTCTCATCTACTGCCTTATAGAGGCATTCTTCTGCCTGTGAGATGATTACTAGAGAAAATGTTAAAACATAACATCTGGCTCATTGATTAGCCTGTAGGATAGGGGCAGGGGGTGGACCTGTTATTCCACTGGTATAGGAAACTAACTCCCTGGTGAGGAAGCTTTACCCACATGGGTTGTTATCTTTTTCTGCAATTTTTAATCTTGGAAAGTTGTCAAGAGCACCACAAGCTTAACTGACTTTCCCAGGACCCCATAATTCCTATGTGTCAGGGACCTGAACCGAGGACTTCCTGGCTTCACAGTCACTCTTTATGTACTACACTAAGCTATCTTCCTATGTTCATGGCACATACAGGGCACGTGGTAAATGATTGCTAATTCATTGATTGTTATATTAAAAATATGTCTCCTATTGCTGGGGGTGGGGAACCTCAAAACTCCCCTCAGTATTATCTCCTAATATCACAAGTTTGGATGAATAGCATCATTGTTCCCCCCTTTTAACATTAATTTACTACAAAGGAGTACCTTACTAGAAAGAACATAAGAGCAATTATTCATGAATCGTTTGACCTTGAGAAGCCCAGTTTGGCATTTACCTCATACCTTTTAGTATTAGGGCATCCCTAGCATATTGTATATACCAGAGTAGTTCATTTTTCTATGGTGAGGTGAATTTCAGCAGTTTAAATAAATTCTTTCATTTGGTATTCTACATAGTCTACATTTTTTTAAAGCTAGGTATTGAAATAAATGATAGACATTCATCCATTGCCAGACTTTTTTATGTTGGTAAAATTTGTTGTTCCAATAGCAGTGTGGTTTTTCTAAAACTTAAAATTAATAACTATGGACATGTTGGATCCATTCTTTCGTTTCCCTTAAGGCTCCTGAGAGTCTTATTGCTTACCTGGTGGTGTCTCTTTCGTTTTCATGTTTCTTCTCTCTGTGGCTTTTTAATTAACATTTGCCTTGAGGGAGATTTAAAATTGACAACACTTCTCACCCTTCAAGGCTAAAGTCTTTCATGTTAGGTACCAAAATTGAATCCACTGAAGGTAAATTATGCCTTTCTTCTTGATCAACTAAATCCATTTTTAGATGCTTACCCTATGACAACAATATTTTCCTAACTAAAAATCTGGATACAAGGTCAAACTAATGTTTTTCTGACTTCACGTTCACTAAATGAGAGTATTATTTGGACTTTTTAAAAAATAATACTGATAATGTTACTATGCTGATAAAATCATAAATGCTTTACATATTCATCTAATCCTACTACTGCTACTAATAACTGACATTTATACACTCCCTTAAGTGCTAAGTCTCTTAGTAGCGCAGTTTGGCTAGAGTAGAGAGTACTTGAAGGCAAGAAACGGGAAATAAGACTAGGAAGATAGATTGAAGACACATTGCAAAGGGTCTTATGCTACAAATTGAGAAGTTTATTCTAGAGGTAATAATGATGATAAAAATAACAAATAACATTTATATAGCACCTACTATGTGCCAGGAATAGTACTAAGCACTTTACAAATATTATCTCAATTGATTTTTACTACAACCCTGAGAGGCAGATGCTATTATTATCTCCATTTTATAGATTAGGAAACTGAGGCAAACAGAATTTAAGTAGTCACATAGCTAGTAAATGTCTAAAGCTCTATTTGAAGTCAGATCTTCCTATCTCCAGGCCCAAAACTCTATTCATTGTTCCATCTAGCTGCCCTAGGAAGCCACTAAAGATTTTATTTTTCAGTTAAGGAGTGACATGATCAGATATGTGTCATAGAAATACTAATTTGATAGCTATATAGAAGATGTATTATAGAGAAGATAGACTGGAATTAATTAATAAGCTAATTACAATAATTAATGTAATGGTAATGAAGGGTTGGATGTGAAATATAGGGAAGTAAAATGTATAGGTTCTGTCTTAGGATTGAATAATATGTTAGAGAGGGAAGAGCTAAGGATTATTCTGAGGTTACAAATATAGGTGAATGAAAAGACTGTAGTTGTCTAAACAGAATTCGGAAAATATAGAGGAAAAGTGGTTTTGGGTACAAAGATCTGCTTTTGGATATCAATTCTGCTTTTGAACATAACTCACATTTGTAAATAAAATTATATTCAAAGTCGACTTAGGTTTCACTGCTTACAAGAGCAATAATGTGAAGACTTGGAAAAATATAGAATTATTTCATAAAGCAAATAATCTTTTTTTGGTATCACTTAGCTTCATACAGCTGGATTACTTGAAGTGGGTTGTCTAAACTGGTACAAATTAAGAAATCACATTTAATATGTGTTTTTCTTTTTTTAATTTGATCCTGGAAAATGAGTATATTATAAACTACTTAGTATAGACAAATACTTTAGTTCTTCAGAAAAGGTGAGCTTTTAAAGTCAAAATAAGTACACTAATTTTGCAGGGCTATAAAAGTAAATATATAGGATATATTTATTTTTTTAAAATATAGCAGTAAAATTAATTAACTCATGATTAATGGCCCAACACTGTCAGAATTAATGTGATCTCTGATTTATAGAATATTTTAAAAGTTTTATATTGAGTATTTCTAAATACTTGAAGTAGCCACATGAACTATAATAATAAAACAGTTGTTACTATTAATAGCTCAAACTAAGTTAACTGAACCATGGTGTATTGGAAAGAGGATTGCACTACATATCAAAAGACTTAATTTCTACTCCTGACTTTGTTCATAACTAGTTGTACCACCTGAGTTGAAATTGCTTAATCTCAAACTATAGAAGAATAAATTGTACTAGAGTAAGCTTAGCCAAATCACTTAACCTTTATCTATCAAATGAATATTTTGGATAAAATGATCTTTGACTTTGTAAGCCCTAAAACTCTTTGATTCTGATGTATTATTACCAAGTAGAAAATCCTCAGGTGAGCAACTTTTCCCTGTGTTTTCTCTTTTATTTCAGAATCTTAAAATATGTTTAGGCTAAGCTGTTTTTAAAACTATGATAAAGGTAGTGATATTATCATTAAATATATTCAGAAAAATTGGATGAAATCAAGCTCATCTTCTGTATGTGGGTGGTTACGTGTATTACTATTATTCAAGCAGTCACTTGGATTGGTAATATTTTAATCAGATATTATTAAAGATTAAGCAATTGATCCACCAACTGACAGTGCATAGGGAACCTCAAAGCTTAGAGGACTCAAGGTCAAATTCTGCCTCTGACATATCCTGTTGTTGGACATGGAGCCAGTCACTTAATCTCTTTGTACTCTAGGCTACTCTAAGCTGTAAAGAAGGTGTTAATCTACATTTGTAGAGGGAGTTTCCACACTTTGTTGTTGTTACTCGTTTCAGTCATATCCAACTTATTGTGACTCCTTTTGGGGTTTCCCTGGTAGAGATACTGGAATAGCTCATCATGTCCTTCTCCAGCTCATTTTACAGATGAGAAAACTGAGGCAAACAGTGTTCAGTGACTTGCTTAGGGTCACACAGCTAGTAAGTGTCTGAGGCTGGATTTGAACTCAAGAAGATAAGTCATCCTACCTTCAGGCATGGTACTCTGCCCATTGAACCACCTGGCTGCCCTGTTTCCTCACCCAGGAGTTCCCTATACCAATGAAATCATTGATCTATTCCTTGCCCCCATCCCTTAAGTAATGTCTGTCTGTCTCACTCTGTCTCTGTCTTTTTAAGGAACAGACAATATCCCAATTAGACTCCTTAAGAGCAGGGACTGTTTTTTGCCTTTCTTTGTATTCCCAGTTTTTACCTGTGTCACAGGAGCTGTGAGTAAATGTTAGTTGACTGAAAATGCCTGACGTATGAGTGTACATTCACTTTTTGTTTGATTTTTAGGATCTAGATATGCACTATGAGCCTACAGACACTTCTGCTATGGCTCGGACGTCCAATCTTAATGAAGAACTCGGTCAGGTAAATGAAATACCTCAGAATATTAGAATGGGAATCAGACTTATTTCTAGCTGACCTAGGGGATCCCAGACAGGTCTCTTAATCTATTTAACAGGTACTTGGTTCATGGAAGTATTTTATGAAATGATTGGGGGAGGTTGTCATTGTAAGGGAAGAGTTCTCCAAAGAGATTTATGCTCTAAAGATAAAATTATTAATCAGTCATAGGGATTTTGCTACTAATATTTATTTAGAGAGGGTTTATCATCTATAGATAATCCCTAGCTCTTAATAACTATATGACCTTGGGTGGGCCATTTAAATTCTCTGGGCCTCAGCAGTAAAAGTCTAGTTGTACTAGACAACTTCTCAGGTTCCTTCTAGCTCTAACTGTGAATCTTTGAATAAGATCTCATGATCTTATGACTGTTATTAGATTTTTTAACTATAAATGGAGAAGTTAGCATATAGTGTTGTCTCCCCCATTAGATTGTGAGCTCCTTAAGGGCAAGATTCGTCTTTTGTTTCTTTTTTAATCTTAGTGTTTAGCACAGTGCCTAGAACATGGTAGGCATTTAATAAATGTGTATTTGAGATCTCATAAAGATGGCCAATAGGAAAGAATCTCTTAGATCAATAGTTGCTTCCTACTTAGACTTAACACAGTATGGCAGTATAAAAGGAAAACTTTTCCCATGTATTATGGCCATTTACCAACTTTATGTTTAATGACAGATGCTTGTCTGATGAAATTGATTATTGTTTGATGACACTTCCCTAAATACTATACATTCCTAGTTCCTTATTTGCTGCCTTAGGAGACCCCGATAAGCACTTTATTTCTTTATGAAAAATAAGCAATACTATTTTTTTGACATACTTATGCCATTCATTACTATAAACGGTACAGTATGAACGGCTTCCACTGTATATTTATTTTCATTCAGCGATCATATGTGAAGCTTACCGTAAAGTATAGTGAAAAGTAATTGAGCTACTCTGAGATAAGTAGAAACAAATCAGTTAAAATTGAGTTGCCAGTGAAAAGCAAAACAGGAAGCAGATTAAGTTTCTCTCTTTGCGCTTATCATTTAATGGACAAGGATGAAAATGACCTTTAGAATTTTAATGTGAATATTTAAACATTTGTTTAGGTTAAATACATATTTTCTGACAAAACTGGTACCCTGACTTGCAATGTAATGCAGTTTAAGAAATGTACAATAGCTGGAATTGCTTATGGGTAAGTTGTTTTTCTTTTGTTATTTTATCACAGTTAAAGGTTCAATTTAAATTTTCAGTTTGTTTATTTCCTTCCTCAACATAAATTGAAGGTGAATCTTCCTTTAACTGGTATTATTCTTAATAATAAACTCACTGAGTATCTTCTTTCCAATTGAAAGTCACTTAAACTTGATTGTTTGTTTTCCTTTTCCACACAGCTACACCCCCTTTTTAATCCTAGGATTTGGGCTCTCAGGATCTTCCTGAAGTTATCCTTCCTAGTGCTCTCTCTCTACTAGGATTTTCTGAAGACTACAGCTAATCTTCTGAAGTGGTAGTAGGATCACAAGGATCTTGGAATAAGAGTAGAGGCTATCTTGCATGTATTATAAACTGCAGTTTGAACTCAGGCAGTTTTCAAATTAAAATAATTTTATTGTCTCATTGAGAGGAGTCCTCTCCTGACGTCGTCCTTTGTCACCCAAGGCTAAATCCTGATTAGGTTTGTAATGACCCTCATGTCCTAGTGGGAGGAAGTCTATTCCTTTTTTCCAAGTATATTTGTCTAAATTGTTAGAGGTGCTGCTTTTTGATGAATGCAGAGGAATGCCAAAGAATTAATTAGAGTTCATTTACTAGAAAGATGCAGTTGAAGAGGAATATTGTGTTTTCTGATTATGGTCCTACTTGAAGCTGGACCAGTTATGGAATTTTCCTGATCCCATTGTTATTTACTGTGTTTTTAAAAAAAAATAAGCACACTAGGTATTAAAACTCTCTCATGTTCACATACGATCACACTCATTCGGTCTTTTCTCCTCATATGCATATGTGACCACATGTATGCACAGATAGCAGTGAATCAGTATTTAAAATTATATATTTAGAACTTCGTGATTAAAGGAGCGTCTTCTTTTTTTTTTTTTTTTGCTTTTTGGTGAGGCAATTGGGGTTAAATGACTTGCCCAGGGTCACACAGCTAGTAAGTGTCAAGTGTCTGAGATTGGATTTGAACTCAGGTCCTCCTGACTTCAAGGCCAGAGCTCTATCCACTGCACAACTAGATGCCCCCAAGGAGTTTCATTTCTTGAAAGGTATTCATTTATAGGAATTAGTTGGAAATATACATATATTTCCTTTGTTTTTGAACATTAAACCCTACAAAAATGCCAACTCTCTAATGACCATTTTTGTATTGCGCACACCTGAGGACTGATTTTTGTATTGGTAGGCAAAGCTGCCATTAAATGCTAATCATTACTCTGTTCCCTAAAGATCTAGTGAGCACCCTGACATTGCTGAGAGTAAGGTGCACCTTTAACTTGATAGTAAAATGTGCTTATTGTCAAATACTTTTCTGTGGAAGTTATATCATTTTGGCATGCAGATAGTTATGCTTGAAGATAGCTTAGTTTTGCTTTTGTCCTGGAGCAAATGTTTTCAGCATTATTGCAATAGTAACAGCTAAAGTGCTCCTTCGGGCCCTATATGGGAGAGCTGAGCAAATACGGAGCTTGTCTCCAGGAGATAGCAAAATGTCATTGATATTATTCTCTCCACCCCAAATATATGTTTAGAATCAGTCACCTCTTACCGATTTCCTCTTGGGGTTTTACGTTTATGGCAACCTTCCCAACATCTTAAATAAGTAAGAAAGGTGCTTTTACCTAAGCAAAGATCGATTTCAGCTAGGAGTAAAAGGATTTGAAACCTGATGGTAAATGTTGTTTTGCCATTTGAGTTTATCAATAAAAAATTTTTTAAATATATTTATTATGTTTTTAGAATATTGTTAAATTTCTTTGGATTGTCTTATAATTCAAAATTTCTAACAATTCAGACGTTAAATTACTGAGACATGAATGGAATAGATTGATGTATTCCTAAATTTTGTAATATTTGATGTGGCAAGATACAATGGTGAAATAATATATATGGAAAGAAATTAAACTATAGTGTAACTGGAGAATTGCTTCTTTAGGTATTAATGAATGTAGCTTATTTCATTCACCAAAGTTATCACTTTAGAGACATCAAATCCATCCATATAACCTTCAAATTTAACTAAAGAGTATCTAAATTTTTTTCTCATGGTGATGGTTATGATTTTTTCACTTCACACTTGAAAAGTATTGAAATAATTTAATCACAGTCAGAAAAATCTTAAATTTGTTAAATAAAAACATCTATTAATGAGAATCATTAGATAATCATTTGCTTTTAACTTGCTATTAACGTTTAATAGCTAAGATGTGATTTCCTACTGTTGACACATCAGGCTTGAATATGAATTTTTTTTAATAAAGTAAAAATATTTGTATTGTGTGGGTGTGTGTATGTGTCTGTGTGTGTGACTGTTTCAAATGGACATAGGCAATTTTTGAAACCCTCTTCAGAGACAGAATTGGCTGGCAGATAATGTATCATCTTGGCAGATTGGAGTGTGGGTACCTTGCCAGTTTATTAACTCTCTATTCACGGACTGGCTCCAACATATCTTTCTAGCTTTATTTCAGGTTACTTCCTGTTAAAAACTATGTTTCAGCCAAATAAGACTACCAGATATTCCCCAAACTCAATATTTCCATCTTGTCTTTCTGTGCTTTTCATCCAAAGCATTCCTATTGCCTGGAATGCACTCTATACTCATTTCCACATGACAAAATTCTTCTACTTTGAGGCCAACTCCACCATGAAGACTTCCTGATTGCCTACTGAAGCTATTTTTCCCTTCTCCAAATTTGCCCAGAGCCCTTTATCCACTGTCACACTAAACCCTGTATATGCCTAACATTTCAGATATTGTATTCCCACAATGGATTCCAAACATGTTGAGAGTAGAAATTGTCATTTTTTTTTAATTGTGCATCCCCAGAGCTTAGCACAGTACCTTGCCACATTTAAGAAATGTTGTATTTAATGTAATTGAAATAGGGTTGGAAAGATAGATTCAAGCCAGACTGTGAAGGCCTTCAGTTTATTCTGGCTTAGCATTTGGTATCTTTTTCTGAAAACATTAAGGGTTTTTGAGCAGAGGAATGCTCACACCAATGGATTGGAGAGGGGAGTTCAATCAAGAGACCAAATACAGTATTAAGAGCAAGAGGGAGCGAGATGATTTTTTTTCTTATATCTTTGAGTAGTATTAAATGAGGTCATGAGCCACAAAAAATATGCCAATACATAATGGGGAGATCAGTAATGTGCTGATGTAAAAACTACTGATAACTGCACACTACAAGTGAACTGATTTTAAAAAGAATTTTTTAGTAAAATGAAATGTCTTTGTGTGCATGAATTTTATTTTTTCTAATTTCAGTAACATTTTGTGATTATGAGGAACTATTAACAATTGTGATGCTTTTTAGTACTTAAAAGGTTTAAGATTTCAAGGCAAGCCCTCTATAGAGTGATTAATTCTTCTTTAGTGCTACCCTCACTCTTCGTAAATTGAGGTCCTGTTTCTGAGTGCATAGGCCCATTCTTCTTCAAGTCAGAATAATTGAGAAGTATTTTGCAAATGACATACTTGTTAATGCATTTTCCACAAAAAAAAATGAAATTTCTAACAGCACATATTTGGTTGTTCTGTAATATTTTGTCTTATAACCGTGATATGCAAGTTAAAATAAAGGTTAAAATAATACAATTCTATTAGTACATATATGCTTTTGCCATTCAACTCAAATATTATTAAGCGTGCTTACCTAAATGTTGACTTTTTCTCAATTTGAAGACTTCCCTAGGATTTTTTCATAGCTCCTGGCCATTTTCCATCTGTGACAGATATCTGCTTCACAGAAGGAACATGTTAACAAATTATGTTAGTTCTGGACATTCCTGGCATTGGCTAATCTGCCTACAACAGGCTGCATTTAATTTCTACCAGCAAAGGCTGTATCTCACCAGCAGCTCTGGACTTTTAGAGGATGGTTTTTAACATTAAAAGAATTTGTATTCTGCTAATCTCTTGCACTACTTAAAGTGAAGCAACCAAAAATAATTATTAAGTGCCTGCTGTATATTCTGGGCTAGATGCTATATGCAATACAAAAAAGCCAGGTGCCTGCCTTCAAAGAATTTACAGTCTGGTTAAGAAGATAAGACAAATGTACATGAAAAGTCAATACTAAGACAAAAATGTAAGACCTCAGAAAACAGCGGTATATGATTGTCAAAGGAATGATGGAGTTAAGTACTTATTTGGTGATAAGGTGAGACTGGATTTGTTTGAGATGCCTTCCTGAAGGAGGTGGACTTTGAGCTGTACTTTGAAGTTTGTGTAGTATTTAGATATAGAGGAAAGAGGAAAGACCTTTAGATGGTTGGTGCAAGTGGGAAGAAGAATAACATAAGCAAAGATAGAGAGGTGGGAAAGAAAAAGCCAGGTAATGTGGTCATAATAGATAGTCTCACAGAGGAAGACTACATGATAAGCATGGACTGGGCCTTAAATGCTAGGTTTAGGAGTTGGAATTTCATTCAAATGGGCTGCCAGCAATCATTTTTGAGCAAGTAAATAAAATGATTAAATCAATGAATTAGGGAAATTAATTTGGCAGTTTTGTGTATTTTAACTTTGGGGAGGAAGAGAAATTTGAGGCAAGGAGTCTAGTTAAAGATCCTTATAGCATCCCAGGCATGAGGTGGTAAGGGGATGAATTAGGGTGGTGATAATGGGAAAGAGAAGGAAGATCAGCAGAATTTGTAGACTGAGGGAATGAGGAGGAATTTAAAATTGAGATCTTTTGCCTAAGAACTCAGACAGGGAGAATGGTGGTATCATTACCAATCATAGGGAAGTTGGGAGCAGGTGATAAATTCGATTTTGGACATATTGAATTTGAAGTGACAGCAGGATGTCTAAATGGAAATTTTTAATAGCAGCTAGAGATGGTGAGTTGGAGAGTGAGATCAGGATGACACAAAAGAGAAAGGGTAGTTGAAACCAGAAGAATATATGATGTTCTTAAAGGAGAGATTGTAGAAGGGTTAGAGCCCTGGAAACCTTAAGGAGGATTCTTTTGACCTCAGGGACAGAAAGAAAAAGAGACTTTTACAAAGGAGGTGGAGAAATAAAAATTGAATGAATTTAGATGAGATCCGGGCTAACATAGCATTATGCAAACCAAAGGGAGAGAAGTTGGAGAGGGAAGCTGCCCACAGAATCTCAGAGTTAGAAGTGACCTCAGGAACAATGTATTCTAACCCAGATGGAAACAAGAATCCCTACTACAACATACCTGACAAGTAGTAAAAAGCAACCTCTGCATTGTGGCCTTGCATGAGAGGTGATCTTCTGTGAGGATGATTTCCCTAATTTTAGCCTTTCCCAACATAAAGCCTGACATTTTCTTCTTCACAATTTCCATCCATTGTTTTCACTTCTGCTCCTTTAGGACCAAACAGATCAAGTCTAGTCGGCTCTTTTGTATGATTATTTTTCAGGTACTTGGGCATAATTTGCATGCCTGTCCTAAGCTTCCTTCTCTGGGTTAAATATTCCCAGTTCCTCCAACCAGTTCTTGTCAGTGACCTTCCTAAAATATACCCAGAACTGAACTTAATACTCTAGCTTTGTTTGATGAGGCCCTGTACAGCAGGGTTAGCATTGTGCCTTGCTCCTAGATGTAATGTTTGTTGAATTTAACTGACTCATACTCTGCTTGGCCTGTATAATATGCCTAACTTACTTTTAATTGCCATATGAAATTACATACACGTTGTGTTTGTAGACCACTGAATCTTCTGATATCTTCAGATGAATTTAGCTTGATCCAGGCCCCGCTAGTCATTGGCTTGAAAACCAGGTGGATGTAAGACTTCATATTTGTTCCTGTGAAATCTAGTATTTTTTAATTTGGCCCAATGTTCTGTTCGGTGAAGATCTTTTTTGGATTTTGACTCTGACATTCAGTATGTTAGCTATCTTTCCCAGCTTCATGTCATCTGCAAATTTCATGAAGGTGCCCTATATAGAGTCAACCAAATCATTGATTAAAATATTAAATGGAAGAGAGCCAAGCACAAGTCCTTGGAAAGAGCCCATTAGACATCGGCTCTCAAACTGACATTGAAACATTAATGACTACTCTTTGGGTCTGAATGCACTTATCATCTAACCAACATCTATACATCTTGTCCTCAAGACTAACATGAATGAGGTTTTCAAATCCTTGCTTAAAATCATGGTAAATACTACCTACTAATTTCCCCTGGTCTACAAGTATTGAAAAGAAAATGAATTTAGTTTTACATAACCTCTTCTTGATAAAGCCACACTGGCTCTTTGTGATCACTACTTCATATTTTAAATGCTTTCTAATTATTTCTTTCATAATACATTCTAGGATTTTACCTGAGGGTAGGATGAACAGAACTAGCATTTTTTCAGTGGCTTCTAAGTGCCGGGAACTTTATAAAGTATTATCTCATTTGATCTTTACAAACAACCCTGGAAGGTAGGTGCTATTATTAGCTCTATTTTACAAATGAGGAAACTGAGGCAGACAGATTAAGTGAATTGCCACTGGTCACAAAGCTAGTAAGTGTGGGAGGCTAGATTTGACCTCATGTCTTCCTAACTCCAGGCCCAGCTCTCTATCTATTGTGCTACACTGTGACACAGTAATGAAAATGAAATCAAGCTCACTGACTCATTTTTTACACATTTTTTCCTTCTTGAGACCTTTAATTTCTCTCACAATCTCCAAAATCTTCTAGGTATCACTGACACTTAAACACTTAAATGCCTGCCAGTTTTGTTTTTTTGTTGTTGTTGTTGTTGTTGTTTTTTATACCTTGGGATTGTATTCACTGAGGCTTGATAACTGAATTTCGAGAAGGCAGTTAGCTATTTACCTACTACCTCTCTAGTTACCTTGGGTTTCATTTCCCTAGAAGCCATTTTTTGTTCTCTCCAGTGCCAAAATAAAACATGAGGATTCATCTTCTATCCATTGTCCATTATAATTTTGTCCCATTTACCCCATGCAGCAGTTCTCTCTCTTTGAGCCTTGGTGCCAAAATAGCCTTTTTAAAAAAGAAAAATACCAAAAAAAAAAAAGAAAGAAAAATACCCTTTTTTGTCCTTAGATATTCTTGCCAGTGTCAGCTCTTTTTTTTTTTAAATTTTTTTTTAAATTTTTAGTGAGGCATTTGGGGTTAAGTGACTTGCCCAGGGTCACACAGCTAGTAAGTGTCAAGTGTCTGGTCTGAGACTGGATTTGAACTCAGGTCCTCCTGACTCCAGGGCTGGTGCTGTATCCATTGCACCATCTAGTTGTTCCCCAGTGTCAGTTCATTTTGCATGTTAGTGCTCCTGACACTGTCCTTACAAAGCCCTGCGATGGTTTTCTTTTTTCTTTCTTTCTTTTTTTTTTTATATTTGTCTCTTCTTTATCTACCCTCCTTCCACATTCTGTGCCTATGTCTGCAAAGTCTCAACTGGTTGATGAGTTCCCTGTACATCTGCATCAGTCCCTTTAGACAACCTCCCCATTCCCTCTTCCTAGAACTGCTTCTCTTTGGGCTTCCAAAATTTCACTCTCTGCTTCTCTCGATTCCTCTCCTCTCCTCTCTTCTCCCTCTCCCTCTCCTTCTCTCACTCTCTCTCCCTTTCCCTCCCTTCCTGAAGTGTTCTCTTTCCTCTCCTCTCCCTCTCTTCTCCTCTGCTCTCTTCTATCCCACTTACCCCTCCCTTCTCCCATCCCCTCCCCACCCCGCCTTTTCTTTCTCCTAACTCCTCAGATGGATGGATGTACAGTATCCACTCACAGCCCTGGTTGGCACAGAAAAGTAAACCTCTACTTTTCCAGCCATGGCTGGTTCCCCACTCCTTTGGCAGACTAGTGACCCTCTGCTCTCAGAGTTTCATCATACTAATGCTGGACTTAGTAAGGAAACCCTAACGGCTTTATCCCTATGACATCTCAGAACTCCCAAACTTGTGATTTACCAGCCCCAATCTTCCCTTGTAGCAGGGGATTATGGGCATGTACTACCATGCCTGGCCAGAATTTTATCCTTAAGAGCTTGCCATTCATGCTGCTGCTCTCAACCCTAATAGCTGACTTCTGAGGAATTTTAGGTCATGATATCCTTTTAACCTTTTGGAATCTCCTAAATATGAGGTTGTATGTCGAACTCTGCCTAGATTTCCTTTACTTTTCTATTTTGAATTCTGAGATGAAATCGTCATTTCCATCTCAGCATTCTGTTTCTCCATCTAGATGCAAAGGGGGAAAAATAGGTATTTTTGCCTGTTGACTTGGATTTGTTCACATGAGTAAAGGAGTGGCCAGTCTGCCAAGAAGGGAAGAAGGAACATCAAGATTGAGAGAGTGTGGAACTATGACTTTTGAACAAAGTGAGAGTTTATTGAAAGAGTGCTGGCAAATTGGAAAAGGTTGAATAAGAAGAAAAAGGAAAGAAGGCATGGACCACTAAGCATCAGTAAAGGCCCATTTGAAACTAGCTAGCATGAATTTGTAATAAGCTAGTTAAACACAGCTTTGTGACTTGTTTTTAGGTTTAGGTTTAGGCAGCAACAGAGGAAGTGGAAAGTAAGGGATAATTCAGGGTCTTGGTTTGGTACAACAAGAAGATAATGGGGCATTTGTGAGAATTGTGTTTAAATGACAATCTCCTGGGAACGTGCTAATAGACTCCAAACAGGGCAGGGTGGAGTGATGAGAGCTGGTTAAGTGTATGTTGAAGGTAGGAAGGTCAGATGATCCTGGAAGAGAAGAACACTAAATTAGGAGTCAGGGGAGATGAAGATTCCATGAGGAGCTTCTATGCAACTAATGTAGGAAGAGGCAGAGAGTTATAAAATTTAGAAATCCAAGAAATGCTGGAGTGATCAAGGTTGATTTGGCTAAATGGAAAGGAGGAAAATTACCCAGGTATTAAAGAGCTAGAAAATAGAACAGCATCCTAGCCATCAGTTTCTTAAAGAATCAAATTTCTTTCCTCCAGAATCATTTAAAATATCATTAAGCAAAATCAAATAAGATTTTGAGCCAGAATCTTTGCCTTTTGTTTTCTTTTCTTCAGGTTTTCTTAAACTTGTATTCCTAAAAAGTGATATATTTGTTTTTTTTTAAATTCTGTGACACTTCCCTATTGTTAATGTCATTGGATGAAAATTATTGAGTCGTTTTTACTCCCAGAAATTGAAATAAATTTTTTGATGTTATAGAGACTATGTCTATCTTCACGTTTTCTATTTAGGAGCTGTTTCCGTGTTCAAAACTAAATATTTGTTGAAGAAATTAATCAAATAGTTAACTTTTATTGTAGTAGACTTAGGCATTTTGAACACATTAAGTATTTGAGGTTAAAGGTTTTAATGTAATAAATTACTGCTACAGTGGAAATATTTTGACTGGTAATTTGCTTTAAAATGTTAATTTTATGATAAAATAGAATTGTGTTAATATCTTTGCTTTATGCAAGCAAGAAATGTAGTTAATTTATTATACATATATCACCCTGTGGTCTTGAAAGTATCTCTTCAAATAAGAAAATGCCCCATAGTAATGCATGTTTATGTCTCACTGATGAATGCTTGCTTTATCTTGGCTACATTATTTATTTGATTATTTTGTCGACAGACTTTAGCCACCAACAAACTTAGAAGGCCAACTGTTTGCATTTGTCCAAATAAATTTGTATGGGTTTGGATGCATATGTATATGTGTGTGTGTGTAGGGGATGTCCTATTCAAAATTATTTGTATTTTAAATATCAATGAACCTCTTGGCTGTCAGAGACTATAACTCAATAATCTTGCATGTTTAAGACTCCACCAATTAGATATTATATGTTATCTTGATCTACTTGTTATTATTAATAACCATTCTTTTGAAATTTATTAAAAATTCTCTTCCTTAACTTTAATAGTCATCTTTCAATACCTCTATTCATCTTTTGCTTTTTTTTAGCCTTTCTGTGATTATTTTCCCTCTTTTTTTATTCTTCTTTTTGCTCTCTATGAAGCCATTTTCCTGAGCCTGAGGATTATGGGTACTCTACTGAAGATTGGTAAGCCCTAAAGATCTTTCAAACTTTCAGTTTTTATTTCTTTAAAATGTTTGCATCCTATCATTTTATTACCACCTCTCTTTCTCTCTCTCTCTTTCTCAGAGCAAAGCGGGATAGTGGATAGATTGTAATTCTGTGAGGTAGATTTTCCTCAGAATTCATTGGATATGTATTGTAATATGTAGTCATTGTTTCTGGTTACAGTCTTTGGTCATTTTACAAATTTAATGGTGGAATCTCTGAAGCATTACATTGCATAGCTCACTAATATGCAAATCTTATATAGCTGTGATAAATGCATCTGGGAGGGAATTTAGAAATATGGAAATTCAAATTTCCCATTCTCTATCTTATTTAGCTTTTGTAACCTTAACATAAAAACTTTTCAAAATGTCTAATAAACCCATCATTGCCACTTTCTGTCATCATTACCGTAGTGTGCAAACCACACACACACACACACACACACACACACAGAAAATGACTTCTGGAATAAAACCCTTCTCTCTTTCTACCCACCTCCCAATGTCATTCAAGTCTACCAGTCACCACTGCTGTCTACCTTCCCTGCATGCTTTTCACACCATAATCATCATAAATACGTTTAACACAATAATCATTATGGATGATTAGCTCATAGAAGAAGTTTAGGAAAGATCTGGTAACTTTCTATAAAATCTAATGAAATTTATATTTTAGAAAATGGACACTAGTATATTAGGTTAAACAAATGGTCCCACATTTCTCTTTGTGATATCTACCCCAAAAAGAAGAAGTTGGGGGGTTTTTAGGTGAGTATTGAATTTTCTTGGTTTCACCTGAATGCTTATAGTTTTCCAAAACATTTTCTCCCACTTCTCACTGACTTAAATTATTAAATTGATTTTAACTTGTTTTTAAAATGTACTAACTGCTACTGTGGATTACATGTAGAATTAAAGTAACAAGGTTCCATAAACACCAATAGAAGGGAATACATTGTGTGACTGCAATAAATGACATGTTTCTGAAATCAGGCTGTAAATATATATTTATTGATCACATAAATGCTACAATCAAGCGAAAAGATATTTTTCTCTGGTAAAATGAAGCTAAAGTGAACTTACAAGTACTTAGTGATAATTACAGTGACAGCTATGGTTCATGTGTCAGCTAATGATTCAGCACATTCAAGTTCATTGCTGCTGGTTTCCTAAATGTTGACACCTATGTCCGTAGTGACTCATTCTTGTTATTTTTAAAACTTTCTGTAGTATCTTAGCATTTGTGGATGACTCAAATATAATGATACTTAAATCTATGGATCCTCATTTGCATACCTCAGCACTTGTGAGATTCCAGTTAAAACTTTGTCCTACTTCCAGGTTTCTAGTATTAATTTTTTTGTCTTTGTTTTCCTAATAACAATTTGTGTAATTATAGCTAACATTTTTATAGGGCTTACCACTTGCAGAGCTGTTTTCAGAATCTTATTTTAACCTCACAACAATTTTATGGAGTAGGTGCTATTCTTATGCTCACAATAGGGCTGTAGTCAAGTTGCTACTAATCAGGTTTATAAATGGTTAGCTGATAGAAATTTTGATGTGTATAAAGGTCAGAGTAGCTAGGTAGAACAGTAGAGAGAGTGCTGAACCTGGAGTTAAAAAGACCTGACCAGATCTGGCCTTAACAGTTACAGTTACTAGCTGTGCAGCTCTGGACAAGTCGTTTAACCTCTGTCTGCCTCAGTTTCTTCATCATCAGCAAAATAGATGTAATAATAGCACCTACTTCCCAGGCTTATTGTGAGGATCAAATGAGATAATATTTGTAAAGCTCTTTGCAAACCTTAAAGTGTTAAATAAATGTTACTTATTCTTCATCATCATCATCAGACATTCTTAGCTTGAATACTGAATAATAATACCATCAGGTTAATATTAGAATTGCTTAGATCACTTCAAAAGGAAAATATTTGCTGATTTGCTTTCATGACATCAGGCAATAGTTTGAAAGATAGTGTATAATTTAGTCTAGCCTACAATTTGTTCTTTTCCAGACTCTTAAAGAAAACTTTTTGAAAACACTCAGACTTTCTTATTTTAAAACATATTGGTAATGTCTAATAGTCACTCTTTTCCCTTAAATATTTACAAATATTCCACTGGACTGATAGTAATCATGAGCTCGTTAGTAATAGGCATAAATTGTACCGTTTATAAGATAGTCACCAAACACTAGAAGACCTTTTGCCATATTTATATTACTATTAACATAACTTTAAATTCTAAGAACTACAAACATACAGAATCTCAGTGTTGAAAGGGCCCTCAGTGACCCTCTAGTCCCATCCATCCTTGACCAAGAATCTCCTCTCTATAGCATCCCCAACAAATGGTCATCCAGGCTTTGAATGACTCTTTTTCTAGCCTTCTCCCTACTGAGGTAGCCTCTTTCAATTTTAAACAGCTCTGACTATAAGGACAATGTTTTTATACATAAAGTTTAAGTCTCACTTTTCTGATTCCACGGTTGCTGTTGGATTTACCCTCAGAGCCCAAACAAAATTACTCTAAACTCATTTCTACAATAGCCCTTCAGATATTTGAGAACTGCTATCACCTACTCATACTCCCTGTTCACAACCCAGTACCAGGTCTTCTATTTTCCAAGCCAGACAAACCAAGTTTTACTTTCTAAGTCACTCTCCTCTGGATGCCCTCCTATTTATTAGTGGTCTTCCTAAAATATGGTACCTAGAACTGAGCGTTGTATTTCAGATACATGCTGATGAGAGCATACTACAGTAGAATTGTTACCTCCCTTGTTTTGGGTACTATACCTCTTTAAACACAGCCTCAGACGGCATTGTCTTTTTTTGGTTGTCATATCCCTCTGCTGACTTAGAGAGTCTACTAAAACTGTCAGATCATTTTCACAAGAACTGTTTTCTAGCTGTGCCTCCCTATCCTATACTTTCTGATTTTTTTTTAACCGAAGTGTAGAACCTTAACTTTGTCTCTATTAAATTTTGTTTTATTTCATTAACCCCAAGCTTCCTTTTGGATTCTACCTCTTGTCACCTATCAAATTGGCTCTCCTTCCCAGCTTTATGTCATTTATAAATTTGACAAATATGCCTTGTATTAATTCACTTACATCACTGATAAAAATGCAAACTAGCACAGGGTCAATAGTATATCCTGGAGGCATTCTGCTAGAGTCCATTCCCAGTTGTTATTGATCTATTAATGAGTATTCTTTTGGTTTGACCATTCAGTCAATTCCAACCCCTTGCACAAATATCCTGGCCCCTCTTTGCTTCTCCTCTTATCTCAAAGCTACCTTAAAAAAAAAAAACAAAAAGGAAAACTTGTCATTTCTCATTCTGGGATTTGACATGCCTGACACTATTTTTTTTTTTTACAGAACTTTGCTCCTCTTTTGCAATTATCTTCAGGTATTTGTTCTTGCTTATAATTCTTTATCTGTCTTCTAAAAATGTGAATTGGTCTCTGTGTTATCTTTCGAAGCTGCATTGGTCTCTTTATACAATTTCCTCCTCTTACTTGTATTTTCAAGTTTTCATTCTTGTGAACTTGGTTTAACAACTCCCCTTTCAAAAATCGGGTCATTGAATACTGCCTTCCCCCCACCCCCCAATCCATTGAAATCTTTCCCCAAAAGAACTGGGGTTCATGTAAGACTGTGTCCAGTTTCCCTTTCCTTTTCTTTCCCAGTATCTATGATAGAGTGATTGCTTGATCCCAAGTTTCCTTCACTTCCAATATTAGCTACCAGTTTCTCCTTGTTGGGCAGAATAGCAGTCCTTTTGCTCTTTCCTTCACCTTCTGAAGGCCAAAATTATCATTAAGGCTAGTTCCAGTTACATCACTGATTAATCTGATGCTCTGCTTTTGGCTGAAAGAAGACACTAGAGGTATCAAGATTATTGACAACTCCATTATCTAGTATATCATACTTTCATAAGAGTTGTTTGATATTGCACAAAATCTTCACCCAATTCCTCTCAGTGGCCAGATGGTCTGTAGTCAGTTGCCATCACAATATCCATTCTGATTCTGCTTCTGCTTCTATTGTTCATCATCTGAATGCTCTCTATCATGTTTTCCCCATTAGGTTACTGAATTTTTTTCATACAAAGATATTTTCTTGATATACCAAGCTACTCCACTGCCCTCTTTATGTAGTCTTTTGCTTTTGCAAATGATATGACCTCATAGAGCCATATTTTAGGAATATGTTCCATCCCGCCAAGGTTCAGTCATGCTTACAAGGTCAAATTATCCTTCTTGCAATTTGGATTTCGAATTGGACAAATGTTTTGTGCATTTGTGCTTGAACTTATGAGACCATAGATTTTATTGCTGACTCTTCTTGAATATTGTGTCCCATGAATTACTTGTACTGTCTTCTGCTAGTCCTCTGCTTGTGCTGTACCTGCCCTGTCTATGAAATCAGGCCTGGCATACCTTTGTGGACACCTTTCTCTCTGCCCTTCCCCCTCTCACCTAAAGCTCTCCTGATTAATTATTTTCACCCATGTTTATTTTTTGGAATAGCAGTAATAAAAATTGAACTCATAACAAGATCAGCATAAGGGACAAAGCCCCCTGTCAAATTTGAAAACATCATTATATACATACCAATTAAAGAGGCAGTGTGGTTCAGCGGATAGGTAGCCAGCTTCAAAACTATGATACATACTGACTGTGACCCTGGACAAGTCATTTAATCTCCCAGTGCTCTGCGAAGCAGAGAAGGAGCCAACTTACATCGGTTAATGCAATGGGAGCTCCCTCATTTAGGAGTTCCCTCTACTAATGAAATGACAGCTTCACTCCTTATCCCTTTGCCTGTGTATAACCACTGTATAATTTCAGTTTCCCAAGTCTCACTTCTGATGGCCAAGGTCATAAGTGTGATTTTTATTGAACCCGGTTAACTTGGGTCTATTCTGTGGCCACAGATGTTCTTCTTAAACTCAGTCTTTCTGC